GAAATTTCACATGTAAGTAACTCTGGCTTCTGTCAAATTTTGAGAAATTTAGGCTATTTCCGATTTCTCAAAAAACGCATGTGAATTTATAAAGTACTAATAATATGCCGCACTATTTTGCACATTTTATTTGGCGTTCACTTGGTGTGCAATTCTTTTTTTTTTCTACGAGATTTTATTCTATTTTAAAAAGTTTAAGTATTTAAAATAGATAAAAGTCATGTCTATATCCCGAGTTGCCATACCCTGTTGTTTCATATAAGAATATTCGAGAAAGTTTAGGGGAGATCACTCACGGTTTATTTTAAAGATGGGTTAATCATTTGTCTTAATTCGGCTGCTGTTTGTGTTTTTCCCACGTTTTCTTTAACTTGCTTTCGTCTCTGTTTTTCCGATCAAATCTTGCGATCGAAATTTCTGGCACTTCCCAGTTAGCTAGCGCGCTGAAATTTTCAGGGAAAATTTGTTTTAGATGACAATAGAATATTCAATTGTTATTATTACTAAATTGATCCATGGAAACATTTTATTGAGCATTTTAGACCGCTATATAATTGTAGTAAAAACGTGGGGAAAAAGGGACATCACACAGTAACTGTAATTTGATGAAAACAAGGTTCGGTACTCTCCCTCTTTGCTTACTGAGTAGTGTTCACGCGGTGTTTGTGTACAAACAACCGTAACAACTGGTGGCCAGTATGGGGGAGACGATATGGTCGAGTGGTTGGGCACACGATTGCTATCCCACTCGACACGGGTTCAAATCTATGTGTTCTAGTCAGTAACGTATTCACACAACGTGTTTTTTACGAGTTGTCTTTTTACGAGTTGTCTTCGTTTACCCAAAAATAAGTGAAAAGATAAAATCGATAGCAAGATTTTAATGCAAACAAACAGACAAAGACTAAAAAGTAGAAAATAATAATCATTAAAAAAGTTTTTAAAAACCCACGTTTTCTGATTGAACTAAAAAGTAGAAAATAAATGCTATAGATCACAATAATACAAGCGATCACTCTACTATAAGCGATCAAAAACGTGGGGCGCCGTGATTTTCTTACAGTTTCTAATACTGTTGACTCTCTACAAGCTCCCTAATAAAAGTCAATAGTATTATCTAATCAATAGTAATATAACTTTTACTTCGGCGCCCCACGTTTTTCATCGCTTATAGTAGAGTGATCGCTTGTATTATTGTGATGTATAGCATTTATTTTCTACTTTTTAGTTCAATCAGAAAACGTGGGTTTTTAAAAACTTTTTTAATGATTATTATTTAACGTTAAAAACAACCCCCTTTTATTGCCATAAGCGAACGCTGGTCCGGACTAAATTATTTCAGAGAGCGTGAACGCTGGTCCGGACTAAATTATTTTAGAGAGCGTGAACGCTGGTCCGGACTAAATTATTTCAGAGAGCGTGAACGCTGGTCCGGACTAAATTATTTTAGAGAGCGTGAACGCTGGTCCGGACTAAATTATTTCAGAGAGCGTGAACGCTGGTCCGGACTAAATTATTTTAGAGAGCGTGAACGCTGGTCCGGACTAAATTATTTCAGAGAGCGTGAACGCTGGTCCGGACTAAATTATTTCAGAGAGCGTGAACGCTGGTCCGGACTAAATTATTTCAGAGAGCGTGAACGCTGGTCCGGACTAAATTATTTTAGAGAGCGTGAACGCTGGTCCGGACTAAATTATTTCAGAGAGCGTGAACGCTGGTCCGGACTAAATTATTTCAGAGAGCGTCGGCTGTGTACAAACAGCGTCTGGGTAGGACCGCTGGTTTGTATACTGTCTGCACGTGTTTGATAGTTTGTGGTTTAAACATTAAAACTTGTTTTTATAATGCAAAAACAACAATTAAGCAGACCATTTGTGGGGGGGGAGGGGGGGGGGGGGTGTCCTAAAAATCGGCTGCAGCCCTCTCACCCCCCCCCCCCCTAATCAGATACTGCACTAACTGAACGTTGTGGAAATGAGTTTTTAAAACTTATATTTTTAATAAAAAAATCAGCCTCAGATACCAATAAAGAGTAGAATTTGTATTTGAAATGACTTCAATAACAAACTTTAAAAATACTTTATATAAATAGTATCTTGAAATCTCAATCACATAAAAACCCCAATATTTATTTAGATATAATTTATATTGACAACGAAAATATTACGTTTTTACAAAGTAAAAGTGGAATTGTACCCTAAGAACAAAATAAAAATAAATGTATTACCCTTTACAAAAATTCCAATTTTGTTTAAAAAGTTTACAAATTACCTCCCTTGGTATTTGACTAAAAAAATCTTTTTTAAAGTTTGTTTTGATGTTGGAAAAAATCTAAATAGCATGGTAAAGTGCAATGTGGTAGGTAAAATTCAGGTATTTTAAATACCTTTAATTTATTTATATTGTTTACTAATTATTTTTTTATCAATAAAAGTTTAAACGCCGTTCCTAAATGTCAACTTTTTGTCTTACTTTGCGTTTATGCTTGTGTTTTTGTTTGCTATTGCCTTACATTTGCTTTTTTGTTTGTGTTTTGGTTGTGGTTAGGGTTAAGTTTAGAGTTAGTGTTAGGTTTAGGGTTATTTTCTCAAACATCCATAAACTATAAAGGCAGCCGGTAATTTGTAAAAAAAATATTTAAAATTGTCAATTTTAAAGGGAAAAAAAAACAGCCTGAACAAACAGTATACCATGTAGAATTTAATTGGAGATAAAAAAAGAAAACAAATGTAAACAGCTTCTGTCAGTTCTACCCATCCCACCCCAAAACAGTCTAGACAAAATGGCCAGTTCCTGCTGTGGTCTAGATGGCCAGTTCCTGCTGTGGTCTAGATGGCCAGTTCCTGCTGTGGTCTAGACAAAATGGCCAGTTCCTGCTGTGTCTAAATGGCCAGTTCCTGCTGTGGTCTAGACAAAATGGCCAGTTCCTGCTGTGTCTAAATGGCCAGTTCCTGCTGTGGTCTAGACAAAATGGCCAGTTCCTGCTGTGTCTAAATGGCCAGTTCCTGCTGTGGTCTAGACAAAATGGCCAGTTCCTGCTGTGGTCTAGACAAAATGGCCAGTTCCTGCTGTGGTCTAGACAAAATGGCCAGTTCCTGCTGTGGTCTAAATGGCCAGTTCCTGCTGTGGTCTAGACAAAATGGCCAGTTCCTGCTGTGTCTAAATGGCCAGTTCCTGCTGTGGTCTAGACAAAATGGCCAGTTCCTGCTGTGGTCTAGACAAAATGGCCAGTTCCTGCTGTGGTCTAGACAAAATGGCCAGTTCCTGCTGTGGTCTAGACAAAATGGCCAGTTCCTGCTGTGGTCTAAATGGCCAGTTCCTGCTGTGGTCTAGATGGCCAGTTCCTGCTGTGGTCTAGACAAAATGGCCAGTTCCTGCTGTGGTCTAGACAAAATGGCCAGTTCCTGCTGTGGTCTAGACAAAATGGCCAGTTCCTGCTGTGGTCTAGACAAAATGGCCAGTTCCTGCTGTGGTCTAGACAAAATGGCCAGTTCCTGCTGTGGTCTAGACAAAATGGCCAGTTCCTGCTGTGGTCTAGACTAAATGGCCAGTTCCTGCTGTGGTCTAGACAAAATGGCCAGTTCCTGCTGTGGTCTAGACAAAATGGCCAGTTCCTGCTGTGGTCTAGACAAAATGGCCAGCTCCTGCTGTGGTCTAAATGGCCAGTTCCTGCTGTGGTCTAGACAAAATGGCCAGTTCCTGCTGTGGTCTAGACAAAATGGCCAGTTCCTGCTGTGGTCTAAATGGCCAGTTCCTGCTGTGGTCTAAATGGCCAGTTCCTGCTGTGGTCTAGACAAAATGGCCAGTTCCTGCTGTGGTCTAGACAAAATGGCCAGTTCCTGCTGTGGTCTAAATGGCCAGTTCCTGCTGTGGTCTAGATGGCCAGTTCCTGCTGTGGTCTAAATGGCCAGTTCCTGTTGTGGTCTAGACAAAATGGCCAGCTCCTGCTGTGGTCTAAATGGCCAGTTCCTGCTGTGGTCTAGACAAAATGGCCAGTTCCTGCTGTGGTCTAGACAAAATGGCCAGTTCCTGCTGTGGTCTAAATGGCCAGTTCCTGCTGTGGTCTAGATGGCCAGTTCCTGCTGTGGTCTAGACAAAATGGCCAGTTCCTGCTGTGGTCTAGACAAAATGGCCAGTTCCTGCTGTGGTCTAGACAAAATGGCCAGTTCCTGCTGTGGTCTAAATGGCCAGTTCCTGCTGTGGTGTAAATGGCCAGTTCCTGCTGTGGTCTAGACTAAATGGCCAGTTCCTGCTGTGGTCTAGACAAAATGGCCAGTTCCTGCTGTGGTCTAGACAAAATGGCCAGTTCCTGCTGTGGTCTAGATGGCCAGTTCCTGCTGTGGTCTAGACAAAATGGCCAGTTCCTGCTGTGGTCTAGACAAAATGGCCAGTTCCTGCTGTGGTCTAGACAAAATGGCCAGTTCCTGCTGTGGTCTAGATGGCCAGTTCCTGCTGTCGTGGTCTAAATGGCCAGTTCCTGCTGTGGTCTAGACAAAATGGCCAGTTCCTGTTGTGGTCTAGACAAAATGGCCAGTTCCTGCTGTGGTCTAAATGGCCAGTTCCTGCTGTGGTCTAGACAAAATGGCCAGTTCCTGCTGTGGTCTAGATGGCCAGTTCCTGCTGTGGTCTAGACAAAATGGCCAGTTCCTGCTGTGGTCTAGATGGCCAGTTCCTGCTGTGGTCTAGACAAAATGGCCAGTTCCTGCTGTGGTCTAGATGGCCAGTTCCTGCTGTGGTCTAGATGGCCAGTTCCTGCTGTGGTCTAGACAAAATGGCCAGTTCCTGCTGTGGTCTAGACAAAATGGCCAGTTCCTGCTGTGGTCTAGATGGCCAGTTCCTGCTGTGGTCTAGACAAAATGGCCAGTTCCTGCTGTGGTCTAGATGGCCAGTTCCTGCTGTGGTCTAAATGGCCAGTTCCTGCTGTGGTCTAGACAAAATGGCCAGTTCCTGCTGTGGTCTAGACAAAATGGCCAGTTCCTGCTGTGGTCTAAATGGCCAGTTCCTGCTGTGGTCTAAATGGCCAGTTCCTGCTGTGGTCTAGACAAAATGGCCAGTTCCTGCTGTGGTCTAGACAAAATGGCCTGCTGTAGAGTCTTTCATACTATGAATAAATTCTGTCAATGTGGCGAGATCTTGCTGAACGTTGTTTTCTTCAACAGTTAGTCGTGTTTGTGTCTCTGTTTCTTCCTGTCGAAGGTAAAAATACATTAAGGTACAGCTTGACAAACAGAAATTGAGAGTTTGAAGGTTGATCTATTTTAGGACATACTACACCCTCTAAACATATAGGCTAGAGATTTGGGGACCCCAAAGGCTGGAGATGTAGGGGGTCCCTATAGAGAAGGGTCCCTGTAGACTTGACATGTAGGGTCCCTATAGAATGGAGATGTTGGGTCCTTATAGATTGGAGATGTGAGGTCCCTATAGTCTAGACATGTGGGGTCCCTATAGACTGGGGTCCCTATAGGCTGGGGTCCCTATAGGCTGGGGTCCCTATAGGCTGGGGTCCCTATAGTCTGGACATGTGGGGTCCCTATAGTCTGGGGTCCCTATAGACTGGACATGTGGGGTCCCTATAGACTGGGGTCCCTATAGGCTGGGGTCCCTATAGTCTGGACATGTGGGGTCCCTATAGTCTGGACTTGTGGGGTCCCTATAGTCTGGACATGTGGGGTCCCTATATTCTGGACATGTGGGGTCCCTATAGTCTGGGGTCCCTATAGACTGGACATGTGGGGTCCCTATAGTCTGGACATGTGGGGTCCCTATAGTCTGGACATGTGGGGTCCCTATAATCTGGACATGTGGGGTCCCTATATTCTGGACATGTGGGGTCCCTATAGTCTGGACATGTGGGGTCCCTATAGGCTGGACATGTGGGGTCCCTATAGCCTGGACATGTGGGGTCCCTATAGACTGGACATCTGGGGTCCCTATAATCTGGACATGTGGGGTCCCTATATTCTGGACATGTGGGGTCCCTATAGGCTGGACATGTGGGGTCCCTATAGTCTGGACATGTGGGGTCCCTTTAGTATGGACATCTGGGGTCCCTATAGTCTGGACATGTGGGGTCCCTATAGTCTGGACATGTGGGGTCCCTATAGACTGGACATGTGGGGTCCCTATAGTCTGGACATATGGGGTCCCTATAGACTGGACATGTGGGGTCCCTATAGTCTGGACATGTGGGGTCCCTTTAGTCTGGACATGTGGGGTCCCTATAGTCTGGACATGTGGGGTCCCTATAGTCTGGACATGTGGGGTCCCTATAGCCTGGACATGTGGGGTCCCTATAGTCTGGGGTCCCTATAGTCTGGACATGTGGGGTCCCTATAGACTGGACATGTGGGGTCCCTATAGTCTGGGGTCCCTATAGTCTGGACATGTGGGGTCCCTATAGACTGGGGTCCCTATAGTCTGGACATGTGGGGTCCCTATAGACTGGGGTCCCTATAGTCTGGACATGTGGGGTCCCTATAGACTGGGGTCCCTATAGTCTGGACATATGGGGTCCCTATAGTCTGGACATGTGGGGTCCCTATAGACTGGGGTCCCTATAGTCTGGACATGTGGGGTCCCTATAGACTGGGCTCCCTATAGTCTGGACATGTGGGGTCCCTAAAACTGGACATGTGGGGTCCCTATAGTCTGGACATGTGGGGTCCCTAAAGACTGGACATATGGGGTCCCTGTAGTCTGGACATGTGGGGTCCCTATAGACTGGGGTCCCTATAGTCTGGGGTCCCTATAGTCTGGACATGTGGGGTCCCTAAAGACTGGACATGTGGGGTCCCTATAGTCTGGACATGTGGGGTCCCTATAGACTGGACATATGGGGTCCCTATAGTCTGGACATGTGGGGTCCCTATAGTCTGGACATGTGGGGTCCCTATAGTCTGGACATGTGGGGTCCCTATAGTCTGGACATGTGGGGTCCCTATAGACTGGGGTCCCTATAGTCTGGACATGTGGGGTCCCTATAGACTGGGCTCCCTATAGTCTGGACATGTGGGGTCCCTAAAGACTGGACATGTGGGGTCCCTATAGTCTGGACATGTGGGGTCCCTAAAGACTGGACATATGGGGTCCCTATAGTCTGGACATGTGGGGTCCCTATAGACTGGGGTCCCTATAGTCTGGACATGTGGGGTCCCTATAGACTGGGGTCCCTATAGTCTGGACATGTGGGGTCCCTATAGACTGGGGTCCCTATAGTCTGGACATGTGGGGTCCCTATAGACTGGGGTCCCTATAGTCTGGACATGTGGGGTCCCTATAGACTGGGGTCCCTATAGTCTGGACATGTGGGGTCCCTATAGACTGGGGTCCCTATAGTCTGGACATGTGGGGTCCCTATAGACTGGGGTCCCTATAGTCTGGACATGTGGGGTCCCTAAAGACTGGACATGTGGGGTCCCTATAGTCTGGACATGTGGGGTCCCTATAGTCTGGACATGTGGGGTCCCTATAGTCTGGACATGTGGGGTCCCTATAGTCTGGACATGTGGGGTCCCTATAGTCTGGACATGTGGGGTCCCTATAGACTGGGGTCCCTATAGTCTGGACATGTGGGGTCCCTATAGACTGGGCTCCCTATAGTCTGGACATGTGGGGTCCCTAAAGACTGGACATGTGGGGTCCCTATAGTCTGGACATGTGGGGTCCCTAAAGACTGGACATATGGGGTCCCTATAGTCTGGACATGTGGGGTCCCTATAGTCTGGACATGTGGGGTCCCTATAGACTGGGGTCCCTATAGTCTGGACATGTGGGGTCCCTATAGTCTGGACATGTGGGGTCCCTATAGACTGGGCTCCCTATAGTCTGGACATGTGGGGTCCCTAAAGACTGGACATGTGGGGTCCCTATAGTCTGGACATGTGGGGTCCCTAAAGACTGGACATATGGGGTCCCTATAGTCTGGACATGTGGGGTCCCTATAGACTGGGGTCCCTATAGTCTGGACATGTGGGGTCCCTATAGACTGGGGTCCCTATAGTCTGGACATGTGGGGTCCCTAAAGACTGGACATGGGGTCCCAATAGTCTGGACATGTGGGGTCCCTATAGACTGGGGTCCCTATAGTCTGGACATGTGGGGTCCCTATAGTCTGGACATGTGGGGTCCCTATAGTCTGGACATTTGGGGCCCCTATAGTCTGGACATGTGGGGTCCCTATAGACTGGGGTCCCTATAGTCTGGACATGTGGGGTCCCTAAAGACTGGACATATGGGGTCCCTATAGTCTGGACATGTGGGGTCCCTATAGTCTGGACATGTGGGGTCCCTATAGTCTGGACATGTGGGGTCCCTATAGTCTGGACATGTGGGGTCCCTATAGACTGGACATGTGGGGTCCCTATAGACTGGACATGTGGGGTCCCTATAGACTGGACATCTGGGGTCCCTATAATCTGGACATGTGGGGTCCCTATATTCTGGACATGTGGGGTCCCTATAGCCTGGACATGTGGGGTCCCTATAGTCTGGACATGTGGGGTCCCTATAGTCTGGACATGTGGGGTCCCTATAGACTGGACATCTGGGGTCCCTATAGGCTGGGGTCCCTAAAGACTGGACATGTGGGGTCCCTATAGTCTGGACATGTGGGGTCCCTATAGGCTGGGGCCCCTATAGACTGGACATGTGGGGTCCCTATAGTCTGGACATGTGGGGTCCCTATAGTCTGGCCATGTGGGGTCCCTATAGACTGGACATGTGGGGTCCCTATAGACTGGACATGTGGGGTCCCTATAGACTGGACATGTGGGGTCCCTATAGGCTGGGGTCCCTTTAGTCTGGACGTGTGGGGGTCCCTATAGTCTAGACATGTGAGCGTAAAGAAGAGCTTACTTTGAGTTTGGAGCTCAAGTCTTGCAGTTGTGTGCCCAACATTGTCAATTCCTCGGATAATTCTTTGCTTTTGACTTTCTCTGTTTTCATGGCATCTACCTGGGCTGGAACACACAGACACAAACTGACATTTGACATGGCAAAGTGACATCTGACAGATTCGTATTTGGCATGACAGACTAACAAGCGAGATGACAGACAGATGAATAGATCCTCACCTGTTCTGTGACTGATGTAGGAGTGAACTTTGGCCAGAGCTGAGCTGTTTAAATGGGCCAGACCTTTCCCAGACACCTGGAGAGTCAAGAGATGGACACACATCTTAAGTGGACACACATCTTAAGTGGACACACATCTTAACTGGACACACATCTTAACTAAACACACATCTTAAGTGGACACACATCTTAACTGGACACACATCTTAACTGGACACACATCTTAACTGGACACACATCTTAACTGGGGACAACATACCAGACAGTGGGGACAACGTACCAGACAGTGGGGACAACATACCAGACAGTGGGGACAACATACCAGACAGTGGGGACAACGTACCAGACAGTGGGGACAACATACCAGACAGTGGGGACAACATACCAGACAGTGGGGACAACATACCAGACAGTGGGGACAACATACCAGACAGGACAACATACCAGACAGTGGGGACAACATACCAGACAGTGGGGACAACATACCAGACAGTGGGGACAACATACCAGACAGTGGGGACAACATACCAGACAGTGGGGACAACATACCAGACAGTGGGGACAACATACCAGACAGTGGGGACAACATACCAGACAGTGGGGACAACATACCAGACAGTGGGGACAACATACCAGACAGTGGGGACAACATACCAGACAGTGGGGACAACATACCAGACAGTGGGGACAACATACCAGACAGTGGGGACAACATACCAGACAGGACAACATACCAGACAGTGGGGACAACATACCAGACAGTGGGGACAACATACCAGACAGTGGGGACAACATACCAGACAGTGGGGACAACATACCAGACAGTGGGGACAACGTACCAGACAGTGGGGACAACATACCAGACAGTGGGGACAACATACCAGACAGTGGGGACAACATACCAGACAGTGGGGACAACATACCAGACAGTGGGGACAACATACCAGACAGTGGGGACAACATACCAGACAGTGGGGACAACATACCAGACAGTGGGGACAACATACCAGACAGTGGGGACAACATACCAGACAGGACAACATACCAGACAGTGGGGACAACATACCAGACAGTGGGGACAACATACCAGACAGTGGGGACAACATACCAGACAGTGGGGACAACATACCAGACAGTGGGGACAACATACCAGACAGTGGGGACAACGTACCAGACAGTGGGGACAACATACCAGACAGTGGGGACAACATACCAGACAGTGGGGACAACATACCAGACAGTGGGGACAACATACCAGACAGTGGGGACAACATACCAGACAGTGGGGACAACATACCAGACAGTGGGGACAACATACCAGACAGTGGGGACAACATACCAGACAGTGGGGACAACATACCAGACAGTGGGGACAACATACCAGACAGGACAACATACCAGACAGTGGGGACAACATACCAGACAGTGGGGACAACATACCAGACAGTGGGGACAACATACCAGACAGTGGGGACAACGTACCATACAGTGGGGACAACGTACCAGACAGTGGGGACAACATACCAGACAGTGGGGACAACATACCAGACAGTGGGGACAACATACCAGACAGTGGGGACAACATACCAGACAGTGGGGACAACATACCAGACAGTGGGGACAACGTACCAGACAGTGGGGACAACATACCAGACAGTGGGGACAACGTACCAGACAGTGGGGACAACATACCAGACAGTGGGGACAACTCCATGCGTACTTGGGAGCTTGAGTTAAAGGTGGGTTTAGACAGTCCAGATGGTAGACAAAGCGGCAGGTCTCACACATCAACAGTTGTCCGCCCTTGTTGCACACAGCGCAGTAGTCGTCATGGTTGTCCTGCTGGTGAGTCAATGGTTTCATGTCAGTCAATGGTTTCATGTCAGTCAATTGTTTAATGTCAGTCAATTGTTTCATGTCAGTCAATGGTTTCATGTCAGTCAATGGTACACTTGTTTCATGTCAGTCAATGGTTTCATGTCAGTCAATGGTTTCATGTCAGTCAATGGTTTCATGTCAGTCAATGGTTTCGTGTCAGTCAATGGTTTCATGTCAGTCAATGGTTTCATGTCAGTCAATGGTTTCATGTCAGTCAATGGTTTCATGTCAGTCAATGGTTTCATGTCAGTCAATGGTTTCATGTCAGTCAATGGTTTCATGTCAGTCAATGGTTTCATGTCAGTCAATGGTTTCATGTCAGTCAATGGTACACTTGTTTCATGTCAGTCAATGGTTTCATGTCAGTCAATGGTTTCATGTCAGTTAATGGTTCATGTCAGTCAATGGTTTCATGTCAGTCAATGGTTTAAGGTCTTAGACTAGCGTATGATTAACTGTGTACTAGACTAGCGTGTGGTTTACTGTGTACTAGACTAGCGTGCAGTTAACTGTGTACAACTAGACTAGCATGTGGATAATGTACTAAACTAGCTTGTGGTTAACCATGTACTAGACTAGAGTGGTTAACTTTGTACTAGACTAGCTTGTGGTTAACCATGTACTAGACTAGAGTGGTTAACTTTGTACTAGACTAGCTTGTGGTTAACCATGTACTAGACTAGCGTGTGGTTAACCATGTCCTAGACTAGAGTGGTTAACCATGTACTAGACTAGAGTGGTTAACTTTGTACTAGACTAGCATGTGGTTAACTATGTACTAGACTAGCGTGTGGTTAACCATGTACTAGACTAGAGTGGTTAACTTTGTACTAGACTAGCTTGTGGTTAACCATGTACTAGACTAGCGTGTGGTTAACCATGTACTAGACTAGAGTGGTTAACCATGTACTAGACTAGAGTGGTTAACTTTGTACCATTTTCTTGCTGCCTGTGTTGTGCTCTGTAGAGTCCACCCAACTGTCCAGTGAAGGTCCTCGACCTGTTGACACAAATAACATAAAATATACAAGTTACATATAATCTGGGTGTGGTGTGGTGCAGCCAACCCATGTGGTGTGGTGCAGCCAACCTGTGGTGTGGTGCAGCCAACCTGTGTGGTGTGGTGCAGCCAACCTGTGGTGTGGTGCAGCCAACCTGTGTGGTGTGGTGCAGCCAACCTGTGTGGTGTGGTGCAGCCAACCTGTGTGGTGTGGTGCAGCCAACACGTGTGGTGCAGCCAACCTGTGGTGTGGTGCAGCCAACCTGTGTGGTGTGGTGCAGCCAACCTATGTGGTGTGGTGCAGCCAACCTGTGTGGTGTGGTGCAGCCAACCTGTGGTGTGGTGCAGCCAACCTGTGGTGTGGTGCAGCCAACCTGTGTGGTGCAGCCAACCTGTGTGGTGTGGTGCAGCCAACCCGTGTGGTGCAGCCATCCCGTGTGGTGTGGTGCAGCCAACCTGTGTGGTGCAGCCAACCTGTGTGGTGTGGTGCAGCCAACCTGTGTGGTGTGGTGCAGCCAACCTGTGTGGTGCAGCCAACCTGTGGTGTGGTGCAGCCAACCTGTGTGGTGCAGCCAACCTGTGTGGTGTGGTGCAGCCAACCTGTGTGGTGTGGTGCAGCCAACCTGTGTGGTGTGGTGCAGCCAACCTGTGTGGTGTGGTGCAGCCAACCCGTGTGGTGTGGCCAACCTGTGTGGTGCAGCCAACCTGTGTGGTGTGGTGCAGCCAACCTGTGTGGTGTGGTGCAGCCAACCTGTGTGGTGTGGTGCAGCCAACACGTGTGGTGCAGCCATCCCGTGTGGTGTGGTGCAGCCAACCTGTGTGGTGTGGTGCAGCCTGTGTGGTGTGGTGCAGCCAACCTGTGTGGTGTGGTGCAGCCAACCTGTGTGGTGTGGTGCAGCCAACCTGTGTGGTGTGGTGCAGCCTGTGTGGTGTGGTGCAGCCTGTGGTGTGGTGCAGCCAACCTGTGTGGTGTGGTGCAGCCAACCTGTGTGGTGTGGTGCAGCCAACACGTGTGGTGCAGCCATCCCGTGTGGTGTGGTGCAGCCAACCTGTGTGGTGTGGTGCAGCCTGTGTGGTGTGGTGCAGCCAACCTGTGTGGTGTGGTGCAGCCAACCTGTGTGGTGTGGTGCAGCCAACCTGTGTGGTGTGGTGCAGCCAACTTGTGTGGTGTGGTGCAGCCAACTTGTGTGGTGTGGTGCAGCCAACCTGTGTGGTGTGGTGCAGCCAACCTGTGTGGTGTGGTGCAGCCTGTGTGGTGTGGTGCAGCCAACCTGTGTGGTGTGGTGCAGCCTGTGTGGTGTGGTGCAGCCAACCTGTGTGGTGTGGTGCAGCCAACCTGTGTGGTGTGGTGCAGCCAACCTGTGTGGTGTGGTGCAGCCTGTGTGGTGTGGTGCAGCCAACCTGTGTGGTGTGGTGCAGCCAACCTGTGTGGTGTGGTGCAGCCAACCCGTGTGGTGTGGTGCAGCCTGTGTGGTGTGGTGCAGCCAACCTGTGTGGTGTGGTGCAGCCTGTGTGGTGTGGTGCAGCCAACCTGTGTGGTGTGGTGCAGCCAACCTGTGTGGTGTGGTGCAGCCTGTGTGGTGTGGTGCAGCCAACCTGTGTGGTGTGGTGCAGCCAACCTGTGTGGTGTGGTGCAGCCAACCTGTGTGGTGTGGTGCAGCCAACCCGTGTGGTGTGGTGCAGCCAACCTGTGTGGTGTGGTGCAGCCAACCCGTGTGGTGTGGTGCAGCCAACCTGTGTGGTGTGGTGCAGCCAACCCATGTGGTGTGGTGCAGCCAACCTGTGTGGTGTGGTGCAGCCAACCCGTGTGGTGTGGTGCAGCCAACCCGTGTGGTGTGGTGCAGCCAACCCGTGTGGTGTGGTGCAGCCAACCCGTGTGGTGTGGTGCAGCCAACCCGTGTGGTGCAGCCAACCCGTGTGGTGCTAAAAGTCCAACAGAGGGAAAAACCAGGTTAACTCACCTCTGTGTTTTTTAATTGTGCCTCTTTCTTTGCGCTGTGAAGCAAAAAAAAAGTTCATGTTTTGTAAATAAAGAAATCTTTTATTTGGAGCACAACTTTAAAGTGAGCTTAACAAATAAATGAACATTGAGAAGCTACTATGTTCTAGTTTGGATAGTTGTTTCCCCTGATTTATCTTTACACATTACAATCTGTCAATTTAACATGAGAGAATAAGAACCTGATTCAACCTGTCATGTTAACATGAGAGAATCTGATTCAACCTGTCATGTTGACATGAGAGAATCTGATTCAACCTGTCATGTTGACATGAGAGAATCTGATTCAACCTGTCATGTTAACATGAGAGAATCTGATTCAACCTGTCATGTTAACATGAGAGAATAAGAACCTGATTCAACCTGTCATGTTAACAGGAGAGAATAAGAATCTGATTTAACCTGTCATGTTAACATGAGAGAATCTGATTCAATACTTACATTCATTTCAAAGCCAAAACTGTAATGAGGATTAGCTGTGGTTCGTCTTTTCCTCTCATTTCTTCTTCGCAGCATTTCTGTAAGAACTCAGACTAATGTGAACATGGCCAAACTCAAGGCCACACATAAGATTTAGAAGAAGAGAACAAGTTTAGGACTAATGTTTGAGAGCAAATAGTGAACACAACATTACCACACATAAGATTTAGAAGAAGAGAACAAGTTTAGGGCTAATGTTTGAGAGCAAATAGTGAACACAACATTACCACAAATAAGATTTAGAAGAAGAGAACAAGGACTAAGGTTTGAGAGCAAATAGTGAACACAACATTACCACACATAAGATTTAGAAGAAGAGAACAAGTTTAGGGCTAATGTTTGAGAGCAAATAGTGAACACAACATTACCACACATAAGATTTAGAAGAAGAGAACAAGGACTAATGTTTGAGAGCAAATAGTGAACACAACATTACGGCACATAAGATTTAGAAGAAGAGAACAAGGACTAATGTTTGAGAGCAAATAGTGAACACAACATTACCACACATAAGATTTTGAAGAAGAGAACAAGTTTAGGGCTAATGTTTGAGAGCAAATAGTGAACACAACATTACCACACATAAGATTTAGAAGAAGAGAACAAGTTTAGGGCTAATGTTTGAGAGCAAATTGTGAACACAACATTACCACACATAAGATTTAGAAGAAGAGAACAAGGACTAATGTTTGAGAGCAAATAGTGAACACAACATTACCACACATAAGATTTAGAAGAAGAGAACAAGTTTAGGGCTAATGTTTGAGAGCAAATAGTGAACACAACATTACGGCACATAAGATTTAGAAGAAGAGAACAAGTTTAGGGCTAATGTTTGAGAGCAAATAGTGAACACAACATTACCACACATAAGATTTAGAAGAAGAGAACAAGTTTAGGGCTAATGTTTGAGAGCAAATAGTGAACACAACATTACCACACATAAGATTTAGAAGAAGAGAACAAGTTTAGGGCTAATGTTTGAGAGCAAATAGTGAACACAACATTACGGCACATAAGATTTAGAAGAAGAGAACAAGTTTAGGGCTAATGTTTGAGAGCAAATAGTGAACACAACATTACGGCACATAAGATTTAGAAGAAGAGAACAAGTTTAGGGCTAATGTTTGAGAGCAAATAGTGAACACAACATTACCACACATAAGATTTAGAAGAAGAGAACAAGTTTAGGACTAATGTTTGAGAGCAAATAGTGAACACAACATTACCACACATAAGATTTAGAAGAAGAGAACAAGTTCAAGACTAATGTTTGAGAGCAAATAGTGAACACAACATTACCACACATAAGATTTAGAAGAAGAGAACAAGTTCAGGGCTAATGTTTGAGTGCAAATAGTGAACACAACATTACCACACATAAGATTTAGAAGAAGAGAACCAGGACTAATGTTTGAGAGCAAATAGTGAACACAACATTACCACACATAAGATTTAGAAGAAGAGAACAAGTTTAGGGCTAATGTTTGAGAGCAAATAGTGAACACAACATTACGGCACATAAGATTTAGAAGAAGAGAACAAGTTTAGGGCTAATGTTTGAGAGCAAATAGTGAACACAACATTACCACACATAAGATTTAGAAGAAGAGAACAAGTTTAGGGCTAATGTTTGAGAGCAAACTGTGCACACAACATTACCACAAATAAGATTTAGAAGAAGAGAACAAGTTCAGGGCTAATGTTTGAGAGCAAATAGTGAACACAACATTACCACAAATAAGATTTAGAAGAAGAGAACAAGTTCAGGACTAATGTTTGAGAGCAAATAGTGAACACAACATTACCACAAATAAGATTTAGAAGAAGAGAACAAGTTCAGGACTAATGTTTGAGAGCAAATAGTGAACACAACATTACCACACATAAGATTTAGAAGAAGAGAACAAGTTTAGGGCTAATGTTTGAGAGCAAATAGTGAACACAACATTACCACACATAAGATTTTGAAGAAGAGAACAAGTTTAGGGCTAATGTTTGAGAGCAAATAGTGAACACAACATTACCACACATAAGATTTAGAAGAAGAGAACAAGTTTAGGGCTAATGTTTGAGAGCAAATAGTGAACACAACATTACCACACATAAGATTTTGAAGAAGAGAACAAGTTTAGGGCTAATGTTTGAGAGCAAATAGTGAACACAACATTACCACACATAAGATTTAGAAGAAGAGAACAAGGACTAATGTTTGAGAGCAAATAGTGAACACAACATTACGGCACATAAGATTTAGAAGAAGAGAACAAGTTTAGGGCTAATGTTTGAGAGCAAATAGTGAACACAACATTACCACACATAAGATTTTGAAGAAGAGAACAAGTTTAGGGCTAATGTTTGAGAGCAAATAGTGAACACAACATTACCACACATAAGATTTAGAAGAAGAGAACAAGGACTAATGTTTGAGAGCAAATAGTGAACACAACATTACCACACATAAGATTTAGAAGAAGAGAACAAGTTTAGGGCTAATGTTTGAGAGCAAATAGTGAACACAACATTACCACACATAAGATTTAGAAGAAGAGAACAAGTTTAGGGCTAATGTTTGAGAGCAAATAGTGAACACAACATTACCACACATAAGATTTAGAAGAAGAGAACAAGTTTAGGGCTAACGTTTGAGAGCAAATAGTGAACACAACATTACCACACATAAGATTTAGAAGAAGAGAACAAGGACTAATGTTTGAGAGCAAATAGTGAACACAACATTACCACACATAAGATTTAGAAGAAGAGAACAAGGACTAATGTTTGAGAGCAAATAGTGAACACAACATTACCACACATAAGATTTAGAAGAAGAGAACAAGTTTAGGGCTAATGTTTGAGAGCAAATAGTGAACACAACATTACCACACATAAGATTTTGAAGAAGAGAACAAGTTTAGGGCTAATGTTTGAGAGCAAATAGTGAACACAACATTACCACACATAAGATTTAGAAGAAGAGAACAAGTTTAGGGCTAATGTTTGAGAGCAAATAGTGAACACAACATTACCACACATAAGATTTAGAAGAAGAGAACAAGTTTAGGGCTAATGTTTGAGAGCAAATAGTGAACACAACATTACCACACATAAGATTTAGAAGAAGAGAACAAGGACTAATGTTTGAGAGCAAATAGTGAACACAACATTACCACACATAAGATTTAGAAGAAGAGAACAAGGACTAATGTTTGAGAGCAAATAGTGAACACAACATTACCACACATAAGATTTAGAAGAAGAGAACAAGTTTAGGGCTAATGTTTGAGAGCAAATAGTGAACACAACATTACCACACATAAGATTTAGAAGAAGAGAACAAGTTTAGGGCTAATGTTTGAGAGCAAATAGTGAACACAACATTACCACACATAAGATTTAGAAGAAGAGAACAAGTTTAGGACTAATGTTTGAGAGCAAATAGTGAACACAACATTACCACACATAAGATTTAGAAGAAGAGAACAAGGACTAATGTTTGAGAGCAAATAGTGAACACAACATTACGGCACATAAGATTTAGAAGAAGAGAACAAGTTTAGGGCTAATGTTTGAGAGCAAATAGTGAACACAACATTACCACACATAAGATTTAGAAGAAGAGAACAAGTTTAGGGCTAATGTTTGAGAGCAAATAGTGAACACAACATTACGGCACATAAGATTTAGAAGAAGAGAACAAGTTTAGGGCTAATGTTTGAGAGCAAATAGTGAACACAACATTACGGCACATAAGATTTAGAAGAAGAGAACAAGTTTAGGGCTAATGTTTGAGAGCAAATAGTGAACACAACATTACCACACATAAGATTTAGAAGAAGAGAACAAGTTTAGGGCTAATGTTTGAGAGCAAATAGTGAACACAACATTACCACACATAAGATTTTGAAGAAGAGAACAAGTTTAGGACTAATGTTTGAGAGCAAACAGTGAACACAACATTACCACACATAAGATTTAGAAGAAGAGAACAAGTTTAGGGCTAATGTTTGAGAGCAAATAGTGAACACAACATTACCACACATAAGATTTAGAAGAAGAGAACAAGTTTAGGGCTAATGTTTGAGAGCAAATAGTGAACACAACATTACCACACATAAGATTTAGAAGAAGAGAACAAGTTTAGGGCTAATGTTTGAGAGCAAATAGTGAACACAACATTACCACACATAAGATTTAGAAGAAGAGAACAAGTTTAGGGCTAATGTTTGAGAGCAAATAGTGAACACAACATTACGGCACATAAGATTTAGAAGAAGAGAACAAGTTTAGGGCTAATGTTTGAGAGCAAATAGTGAACACAACATTACGGCACATAAGATTTAGAAGAAGAGAACAAGTTCAGGGCTAATGTTTGAGAGCAAATAGTGAACACGACATTACCACACATAAGATTTAGAAGAAGAGAACAAGGACTAATGTTTGAGAGCAAATAGTGAACACAACATTACCGCACATAAGATTTAGAAGAAGAGAACAAGTTTAGGGCTAATGTTTGAGAGCAAATAGTGAACACAACATTACCACACATAAGATTTAGAAGAAGAGAACAAGTTCAGGGCTAATGTTTGAGAGCAAATAGTGAACACAACATTACCGCACATAAGATTTAGAAGAAGAGAACAATTTCAGGGCTAATGTTTGAGAGCAAATAGTGAACACAACATTACCGCACATAAGATTTAGAAGAAGAGAACAAGTTCAAGACTAATGTTTGAGAGCAAATAGTGAACACAACATTACCGCACATAAGATTTAGAAGAAGAGAACAAGTTCAAGACTAATGTTTGAGAGCAAATAGTGAACACAACATTACCACAAATAAGATTTAGAAGAAGAGAACAAGTTCAGGGCTAATGTTTGAGAGCAAATAGTGAACACAACATTACCACACATAAGATTTAGAAGAAGAGAACAAGTTCAAGACTAATGTTTGAGAGCAAATAGTGAACACAACATTACCACACATAAGATTTAGAAGAAGAGAACAAGTTCAGGGCTAATGTTTGAGAGCAAATAGTGAACACAACATTACCACACATAAGATTTAGAAGAAGAGAACCAGGACTAATGTTTGAGAGCAAATAGTGAACACAACATTACCACACATAAGATTTAGAAGAAGAGAACAAGTTTAGGGCTAATGTTTGAGAGCAAATAGTGAACACAACATTACCACACATAAGATTTAGAAGAAGAGAACAAGTTCAGGGCTAATGTTTGAGAGCAAATAGTGAACACAACATTACCACACATAAGATTTAGAAGAAGAGAACAAGTTCAGGGCTAATGTTTGAGAGCAAATAGTGAACACAACATTACCACACATAAGATTTAGAAGAAGAGAACAAGTTTAGGGCTAATGTTTGAGAGCAAATAGTGAACACAACATTACCACACATAAGATTTAGAAGAAGAGAACAAGTTTAGGGCTAATGTTTGAGAGCAAATAGTGAACACAACATTACCACACATAAGATTTAGAAGAAGAGAACAAGTTTAGGGCTAATGTTTGACAGCAAATAGTGAACACATTACCATTGAGGGCATCAACTGTGTACAGCTCCAACAGCTCCAGAAATTTTTCTTTCTGAAACATCCGTTCAAAAACAATTTCTGTACATAAGTCAACCAGTACTGGCATAATGTAGGATGTGATGGTAAATGTAGGATGTGATGGTAAATGTAGGATGTGATGGTAAATGTAGGATGTGATGGTAAATGTAGGATGTGATGGTAAATGTAGGATGTGATGGTAAATGTATTAGGTGATGGTAAATGTAGGAGGTGATGGTAAATGTAGGATGTGATGGTAAATGTAGGATGTGATGGTAGGTACAAATGTAGGATGTGATGGTAGGTACAAATGTAAGATGTGATGGTAAATGTAAGATGTGATGGCAAGTACAAATGTAGGATGTGATTTTACCTCTAGTTGGCTGGATATGACTTTGGTGTGTGTCTGGTCGTGTACCTTCCCCACTTGTGTCTGCCGTACCTTCATCACCTCTTTCGGGGACTCTTGACTGACCCTAGTTGTACATGGTGCTGCTAAAGCTTGACTGACCTTTGTTGTACATGGTGCTGCTAAAGCTTGGGTAGTAGGTGCAGGGGCGATGTTGCAGTACTGTCAAAACATTCTTTAATTACTTCAACATACTATACTGCTGTTGTTGTAGTTGGTAAATGTAGGATGTGTTATACAGGTATTGTTGTAGTTTTTTATACAGGTATTGTTGTAGTTTGTTATACAGGTGTTGTAGTTTGTTATACAGGTATTGTTGTAGTTTGTTATACAGGTATTGTTGTTGTTTGTTGATGTAAGAACTAATTAAGCTTACCTGAGCAGGTGCAGTGACTGGCCGAATGAGTGAGGCGGTGTACTGAGGAACTTTGATTGGCAGGCTTACCTGAGCAGGTGCAGTGACTGGGCGAATGAGTGAGGCGGTGTACTGAGGAACTTTGATTGGCAGGCTTACCTGAGCAGGTGCAGTGACTGGCCGAATGAGTGAGGCGGTGTACTGAGGAACTTTGATTGGCAGGCTTACCTGAGCAGGTGCAGTGACTGGGCGAATGAGTGAGGCGGTGTACTGAGGAACTTTGATTGGCAGGCTTACCTGAGCAGGTGCAGTGACTGGCCGAATGAGTGAGGCGGTGTACTGAGGAACTTTGATTGGCAGGCTTACCTGAGCAGGTGCAGTGACTGGGCGAATGAGTGAGGCGGTGTACTGAGGAACTTTGATTGGCAGGCTTACCTGAGCAGGTGCAGTGACTGGCCGAATGAGTGAGGCGGTGTACTGAGGAACTTTGATTGGCAGGCTTACCTGAGCAGGTGCAGTGACTGGCCGAATGAGTGAGGCGGTGTACTGAGGAACTTTGATTGGCAGGCTTACCTGAGCAGGTGCAGTGACTGGGCGAATGAGTGAGGCGGTGTACTGAGGAACTTTGATTGGCAGGCTTACCTGAGCAGGTGCAGTGACTGGGCGAATGAGTGAGGCGGTGTACTGAGGAACTTTGATTGGCAGGCTTACCTGAGCAGGTGCAGTGACTGGGCGAATGAGTGAGGCGGTGTACTGAGGAACTTTGATTGGCAGGCTTACCTGAGCAGGTGCAGTGACTGGCCGAATGAGTGAGGCGGTGTACTGAGGAACTTTGATTGGCAGGCTTACCTGAGCAGGTGCAGTGACTGGGCGAATGAGTGAGGCGGTGTACTGAGGAACTTTGATTGGCAGGCTTACCTGAGCAGGTGCAGTGACTGGCCGAATGAGTGAGGCGGTGTACTGAGGAACTTTGATTGGCAGGCTTACCTGAGCAGGTGCAGTGACTGGCCGAATGAGTGAGGCGGTGTACTGAGGAACTTTGATTGGCAGGCTTACCTGAGCAGGTGCAGTGACTGGCCGAATGAGTGAGGCGGTGTACTGAGGAACTTTGATTGGCAGGTGAGAGGCGAGGCGCTGCTGGGGTTGTTGCTGTTGCTGCTGTTGTTGTATCATCTGTAAGATTTGCTGCTGCTGTTGCTGCAACAGCTGAGGCTGTACTAACGGCTGTTGCTGGAAGTGAGTCACAATCAAGCCAGGGGTGGCTGGTAGACAGGAAGAGCTGCTCACATGTCCGTTGCAGTTGCTGGTTGCTATTACACTAGCATTGTTTATGCTGGTTGCTATGGGCGTGTTTGCTATAAGACTAGCATTGTTTATGCTGGTTGCTATGGGCGGGTTTGCTATAAGACTAGCATTGTTTATGCTGGTTGCTATGGGCGTGTTTGCTATAAGACTAGCATTGTTTATGCTGGTTGCTATGGGCGGGTTTGCTATAAGACTAGCATTGTTTATGCTGGTTGCTATGGGCGGGTTTGCTATAAGACTAGCATTGTTTATGCTGGTTGCTATGAAGAGGTTGGCCATGTTTGTCAAATTGTTGAGTACTATGCTGGTGGAAGATTTGCTGGAATCATTGGATGCGGCCATGTTGTTGGTTCTGTTGGTGGTGTGGCTAGAGGCTCCAGCACAGCTTGGGGTGCTGCTACCATTGGCCACTTGACTCTGGACGTGAGTGCTGACCACATTAGACCTGCTGCTGCTAGACAAACTGGAGACTGTGTTGCCGAGGTTACCAAAGTTGTTGATAGTTATGTTGCCATGGAGAATGCCCCCAAGGGTGTTGTTGGCCAGGTTACAGCCAGCACTCAGAATTCCTGCAGGTATCAGAGATATGTTGGTGGCCTGAGATAATGGGCCACCTGCAGAATGAATGGCCATTCCAACAGCTGGCCGCTGAAAATGTGGTAACAAATATTTATTACATGATTCTAAACATGGCAGAGATTAAACAAAACAAATTCAGTGTCATTGAATTAATGACCCCAAGCATTAGGTCTTCTATACTTCCTCCTTGTTTAAGGACGTTATAGAAAAACTAACCTGCATGTGAGCTATAGGAACAGCCACCATCCCCACTGGCAAAATGGTTGATCCTCCTTGTGTTGGGAAGCTGACTAGCCTCGGCTGCCCAATTGCTGTGATGGTCTGACTGACTGTAACCATGGGTGGTGGCAGGCTCTGAGGACTGGATTTCACCAAACTTTCTCGAAGTTTCATGACGATTTTTTTCTGAAAGTGTAGTAGGATCAAGCATGAAACTATAAGACTCTTATGTATTTACATTCTAGTTGTAAAGATCTTCTATTATGTATTTACATTCTAGTTGCAAAGATCTTCTATTATGTATTTACAATCTGTGAATAATAAACCTAAATTCAAACATGTCATTTCAATTGAGGTAACATTACTAATATCACCACTGACAGCAAATAGTACCACTAATTTTAATTATTATAAAAGCACTTCTAAGTAGTTTCAGCATCCAAAATAGTCCAAGTATTGAATGGGATAAAAATGTGGATGTAGATGAGAACTAACAAAATAGTCCAAGTATTGGATGGGATAAAAATGTGGATGTAGATGAGAACTAAGTGGCCCACACAAAGTGAGCTCAACACAAACACACTCACCTGCTCTTCACTGAGTCTCTTGATCTCTTCTTGGAGTTCTGCCAAGCCTTTCTTTAGTGAAACATTCTGGGGCAAAAAGGAAGTCAGACAATTTTCATTTTTCTAAGTCTTATCAAACTCTTGGAGTGTGTTTTCCATGACTAAAAGAGCACTATGTAAATAAAACTAGCTTTCAATATTTGTAATTATTCTCATCACACAGCATATTGTATTTCTTTGTAAAATTGGTTCAACTGACAGGAGAGTGGCAATCATTTAAAATTAATGCTGGTAATGATGGGTCTAGTTTTATTTATTTCAAAAAGGCTCTTCATATAAACATTAGGAATATTGTTTTTACTAAACATTTGATTCAGAGAGCCATTGTAATACAGCAGGCTTGATCTATGAGCAATAGGCCTACTAATCTACTAGGCTTAAATATTTTAAAAATGATAATGTGAATGTCAAACTGTTTATTTTATTACATCAATACATTTAGAGTCTAGATTCAGATATCTAGCCTCTAGCTCTCATGTGGTGCCTTAAGAAATGGCAAAGAGAAAATGGTAGTATGAAAAGTTTCTGAACAAAAATCAATAGATTTCTACACTAGTTGGAAGCTGTCTCTGGCAGCAAGCTGGTTGGGCAACATAGGCCTACTACTAGATCTAGATCTAGATCCACTAATGAATTAGGTTACTAGGTGATCATGAGCTGTCTATGTGACTCACATTTTTTTATAAGGTCCTAGAGATCTATTTCCAAACTAACTATAGCAAGATGTAGATCAAGATTCTAATAATTTAATTAATTCTATATTCTATGCTTTAAATAATTAATTGTTTACCTGGTTGTCTCCTTTCATTTTTACCACCAGCATCTAAAAGGAAGAAAGTATTAATACAAACATTGTATTATTTTGTATTAGAACCTTTTGAATAAAGTTTATTATAAACCAACCAACTTTGAGTAACTTTGACATGTGATATGATAATTGTTGGGGACCCATGACATTTCCATGAAATAGTTTGGTGGACTAATGTGACTGAATCTAGAATTTGAGAGGCCCTGTAATGTTGTAATGCCTAGATTTAGAATTTGATTAGATCTAAAATCTAAACTAGATTAAGATTTTCTAGAGATCTAAATCTACAGTCTATGGTATGAGTAGCTAGCTAGAAGAGTCTTGATCTAAATTCTAAATCTAGATCTAGATCTAGATCTAGATCTAGACTCTAGATAAATAAACTTTGTAAAAAAAATTACGATCAAGTCATCTTTCTAATTTTCTGAACACTTTGGAACTTTTTTAAAAGACAAAATAAAGTTTATTTTCAACGTTGATGATAGATTGAAATCTAGATCTAAGAGATAGAGTCTATCCTCTAGAATCTAGGCTAGTCTTTACTCTAGATTTTCTAAATGAGAGGGAGGCAAAAAAATCAATAAAGCGAGGGGCGAATAGGTCTGTAATAAAACCGTGGTTACTTACCTGATGGTTTTGGATGGCAGCTTTAAGCTTAGCCTGAATAGTATTTAACTCTACTCTAGACATGTTTAGTATTATCTTTCAGAAAGAAATTCAGTAACAACTTATTTAATTCAATTAATTCTCCACGAATTATTTGTTAGTTGTAAACAACATTACGAGCCATCAAGTGGCGACACTCTTCATAGTTTAGAAACTGATTTAACAATTGAATAATAATTTATTTATTTACGATTTAAATAGTTTTTATTTTGTTCTATAAATGTGAAATGAAATATTAATATACTTTTTCAAGCAATATATATTAATTTAATGTACAACCATATATCAACTAGTTTTGTTTTAAGAACTATATTTTTTCGCGCAAGTGCAAAAGGACAGAGACCGGAGTATAACTCTACAACTTGATTACCGACCAGGCCTAGGCCTATTCTGGTTCTCGATAGGTCGCATTTGACCAACTTCGACACATTTCCAAAAAGTTAAAATTCCTGGCTATTTAACTACTCTGATTATTAAATAAGTTCGTTTTATACCTATTATCTGATAGCGAATTGCGAGTTTGACTTGAATATTTGATTATATTTCAATTTAAAATTCGGATATTGTAATCGGCCAAAGATAGTTTCAAAGCACAGAAAGAAATTTTTTTTTTTTAAATTAAAAAGCCAGATTCTAATAAAGTTCAATGACGGCCCTGGTAGGCCTAAAGTGCCAAGATTTCCGGGGCCAACTCCATGAACAGATTTAGCCAAAAAGCATACCACCCAACATCGACAGGCCAATATTCGAATATTTTCTTGACTTCGTAAATATAGCTCTTTCTGATGCCTGCGATCTATACCTGCTTAGAGAAACTTTGGGAATCCTTAATAACACATAGATTCTACAACTTTTTAAACACAAAAACGAATATAGATCTAGATCTATTTACTTGCAGATTCAATAGAGAAATATTAACCCTTTAAGCTTCAGCATCTCGACTTAAACGATTATGCGCAACAAGTTGGATTGAACGTAATGAGTCTGTCAACGTTTTTATACAACTTCAAAAAGCTACTGTTGATGCACTGGTAATTAGAATCTATGTCATCCTGGCACGATACAACTTCTTGAACAGCGATTCAACTTTTAGGAGATAGGAGTCTTGAGTTTCAAATTCCTCCTAGAGTTATCTAAAAAAATCTTTTCTGACAGTTGAATACTGCAAGAAGAAAATTTTGATCTAGATCTAAATCTATCTGCGGCGCTAAAGTTGACAGAAGATTCAAGTAGCCTTCTATTGCATATGCGGAAGTATGCTCAATCAGAAGTGAATGAAATCAAAGACATTTGTTAGGAGTCAGACATAAAGATATTTATTACACGTCGAGCTTGGAAACAAATACAAAATTGCAGTGACGTAGGCAGGGTGAGTTAGGGGGAGGGGGCTAAGCCATAACCCCCCCCCCCCCCCCCCCCATCCATGGACCCCTCTGTACTTTTTAAAATTTTAATAATACCACTGACTTATTTAAATATATTTGTGAATCTGTATATATGTATAATTGTATAAGTATGTTTAGAACAACCATCTAAAAACTGAGGCTATGTTCATTCTGAGTTGGTTATTCTACCCCCCCCCCCTCTCCAACCTCAGCACCAGAACGGGACAGGCTGTGTGGGGCGACATTAATGTCACAGCCAGGTATACGCTGGCTGAGATCATAGACCTACAGATCCCGGATAGTGGGGACTTACTTGACTTAGTCCTCTTTGCTCCTTATGGAGCATAGGGCCTCCACCATTTCCTTCCATTTCTTCCTATCCTCGGCTATTAATTTTGACATCTCCCAAGACATCCCCGTTGGCTTCAGTTCTTCAAGAAGACTCCGCCTCCAGGTCTGTCTTGGGCGCCCTCTCTTCCGCTTTCCCTGGGGGTTCCACTCAAGCGCTTGGCGTGTAACATTTGTGTGAGCCTTTCGCAGTGTGTGACCCACCCAGCGCCACTTCCTCCTTCTTATTTGCACACCCATAGGCTCCTGCCTAGCTTTCCTCCACAGTTCCAAGTTCGGCACTTTGTCCTGCCATCTCAGTTTCAGTATCTGTCTAAGGCATCTATTCATGAAGGTCTGTATCTTTGCTGTGCTTGCCTTGGAGACTCTCCATGTCTCTGCTCCATACAGCAGAACTGCCTTGACATTTGATTTTGAGTTAAATATCCTAATTTTTGTGGTAATGGAGATGGCCGAACTTTTCCATATTGGTTGCAGGACTGTGGGGATAGTGGTGAATGAAGTTGAACCCCCTCCAAGCTTTATCAATGTTTTTCTACCTTAATCACATTGTGTTTATTGATCTAATTATATCTTCAATCAATATGGCGCTACTAACACTAAACGATTTCTGTTTGTCTGTCTGTCTGTCCTTAAAGCATCCATACATAATCCATCCTATCGCAATGACATTTTTTGGGAAGTCGTTGAGAATACTCCGGATAGTTTTTTTTTCTCAACAGATGCCCGAAAGAAACTCTGACTCATGGGAAGTTTCTGCTATTAATTTGTTATTTCAGAGGGCAACGCCCCGGGTCAGTGCTACTAGTTGATTCAACTGTCAGACTGCACAAGCGCATCATCCGGCAATCGAGTGACCCGGCGCCCTGTGCCCCCCCCCCTATATTCATTTAAATGATCGCCATACACAAGGGATACATCGATGACTAAAATCGATGACTAATTCGAGTAATGGGTGTCCTCGGCAGTAGTACACGGTTGGGCACCCCGAGTTACCCAGCGGCTACTTGAGTGAAAGGGAGCCGTTGATTGGGCGTCATGCAAGGTCAGGGACTATTCCTTGGTTTAACAATCAAATTGCAACAGGGGCGACATCAGATGCCCCCGGCGTATGGATGACACCAAGCACAAGAGCACCCTACACTAGGGACATAGTGGGCCTCTACATTCGATGATTAAACTACACTAGGGACATAGTGGGCCTCTACCCAAACACAAGAGCACCCTACACTAGGGACATAGTGGGCCTCTACATTCGATGATTAAACTACACTAGGGACATAGTGGGCCTCTACATTCGATGATTAAACTACACTAGGGACATAGTGGGCCTCTACATTCGATGATTAAACTACACTAGGGACATAGTGGGCCTCTACATTCGATGATTAAACTACACTAGGGACATAGTGGGCCTCTACCCAAACACAAGAGCACCCTACACTAGGGACATAGTGGGCCTCTACATTCGATGATTAAACTACACTAGGGACATAGTGGGCCTCTACATTCGATGATTAAACTACACTAGGGACATAGTGGGCCTCTACATTCGATGATTAAACTACACTAGGGACATAGTGGGCCTCTACATTCGATGATTAAACTACACTAGGGACATAGTGGGCCTCTACATTCGATGATTAAACTACACTAGGGACATAATGGGCCTCTACCCAAACACAAGAGCACCCTACACTAGGGACATAGTGGGCCTCTACATTCGATGATTAAACTACACTAGGGACATAGTGGGCCTCTACCCAAACACAAGAGCACCCTACACTAGGGACATAGTGGGCCTCTACATTCGATGATTAAACTACACTAGGGACATAGTGGGCCTCTACATTCGATGATTAAACTACACTAGGGACATAGTGGGCCTCTACATTCGATGATTAAACTACACTAGGGACATAGTGGGCCTCTACATTCGATGATTAAACTACACTAGGGACATAGTGGGCCTCTACATTTGATGATTAAACTACACTAGGGACATAGTGGGCCTCTACATTCGATGATTAAACTACACTAGGGACATAGTGGGCCTCTACATTCGATGATTAAACTACACTAGGGACATAGTGGGCCTCTACATTCGATGATTAAACTACACTAGGGACATAGTGGGCCTCTACATTCGATGATTAAACCTAATCAGGGGTTGCTACCTGTTACCTGCGGTAGTGTAACCGGTTACCCCCGCGACGCCCCTTACACCTGGGCGGTTGCCGAGAAGTTTTCAACCTCAAAATTACGGTGATTAACGTACACTTAAGACTTTCATGCAGCAAGCCCTAGGGTGTATTAGGTGATAGTGTGGACAAACCCGCGCCCCAGCAACAAAGATCCGAGAAATATAGCACCGCTGTCGTTTACCTTTTAATTGTCAGTTTTAGAAAATAAACTCCCGCGTCTAAAATTCTAAAAACACGGTGACGCGTTGATGAAACCCTTACAAAATACATGGTCAGCCTGGTACGTTGCACAAGAACACATTAACGTTTTGTACGTCACATGGAAAAACACAGTTTTAACAGTAAATATTAATTCTTCATCATGGTGTTATGCCTAAATGGCGTCACCCATATACAAAAGTATATATGAGATGAAAACGTTTTAAAACACGATTATCTCGCCCGAAATGAGTTAGAGCAAATTTTTGTGTGATTTGTTGTATCATGATATTTGATATGCTTTGCAGTGAAATATTATTATCATGTTAAATTACTAAATAATGTAATTTTATATATATATATATATATATATATATATATATATATATATATATATATATATATATATATATATATATATATATATATATATATATTGGCCGTCCCAACCAGGCCCTGCACTGGCCTCTGTAAAAACCGATCTGTAAAGACCGTGACTTTTGTTTAGTAAGCAGCATATACACGGCATTGTCGGGTTTAGGAAATATATTACTTTTCGAAACAAAACATAAAGACAAAAAACAAGCGCAGACATAACACATATAAATAAGTAAATAAATAAGTTAATTAATTAATTAAAAAACTAAAAAATAAAAAAAGAATAAAATAAAATAAATAAATAAATAAATAGGCCTAATATATATATATATATATATATATATATATATATATATATATATATATATATATATATATATATATATATATATATATATATATATATAGGCCTATATATATATATGAATACGAGGGCCGAACTTTTTTTTTACGGGTGACCTTTTTTTTTTGTCTAGTTCCGCGACTAAACAAAAAGACAGGGCCTTTATTTATTTAGCTTAGGCCCAAACGGCTTACGGGTGACCTTTATTTTTTTGTCTAGTTCCGCGACTTAACAAAAAGACAGAGCCTTTATTTATTTAGCTTAGGCCCAAACGGCTTGGAGGGCCAGAGATAGAAAGTGTAGGGTTAGATGAGACATAATAATTCAATGACCAGTCAAACGTCGTTTAACTCTTGGCATGCAGTGTTTCTTCCAAACTTTTTTCTTCGGGGGGCACTAGAAATTTTCGGGGAGGGGGGGGGGGGGGGGCGGTAGACTTTCTTCGGGGGAGGGGCGGACACTGTTAAAAGTATATATTTTCTATATAAATTATATAAATTTCATTTCATTATGTGTGCGCGCTTTTATGTTTGCGCATTTTCTGTTGCCCAGTTGTTTGCGTATTTTTCTATTGCGTATTTTTCTGGGAATCCATGGTGTAACCCCTGTCCCCCACCCCCTCTTATCGGCATTGTCACATTGAACTTAAAATACTTATTTTCAAATTTTCAAAGATTTTTTATGGTGAAATACCATTCAATTTAACATTTATTTCAATGGAATTTCGTCAATACAAATTTAGAAAATTCAAAAATAAATAAATTTCTAGAGTGTTTTCTGTTACAAAAACTAACCAGCTGTCTCTATTAGTGTTAGTACAAGAAGGATCAATGGTTATATTGCTGATATATATGTTAGTTTATGAAATTTTAGAACTCCACAAAAGGTTTTTTTTTTCAAGGTGGCCGCCAAGGCAACAATATTTTCAAAAAAGTCCACGATGCTTGCAATAATTTACCTTTAAGTAACCGAACTTAGATATACACAAATAAATAAATAAAACGTTTTAATTAAGAAGTTTGCTTTTTTAGGAGCCTACACCCTTAGCTCAAATTAACCATTCATGGACTGGTCATAGTATTAACCCCCTAAATGGTGTCCACACATCCCGCCCCGCCTCTCGACGCCTCTGCGATCAGGCACCCATCCTTATTCCGTTACTGTTAACTTGAAATTTTCGGGGGGGGGGGGGGGGGGTAGTCGACTCTCTTCGGGGGGGGGGGGGTCCCTGGAAGAAACACTGCACTTGATCGCTTCAAATAACACACAGCACACATTCAAAACACACTTCTTACCTTTTAAAAACGCAGTGTTTTCGAACGGTGCAGGCGGACCAGTAGGTGCATACATTTTTCTATTATGCTATTTTTTTGTGTAATCAATCAGACGGAATAGTCATTAATTTAACGCACTTGTATTTTATATGACACTGTTGATCACCGATTTGTGTGCTAGAAATAAAATTTCTATTATTTTAGGAGTGACGCTTTAGGTAAACAATGTCCGAGGAGAAAGCGACGACATCAGCAATTAACGCAGGAGGTGGGGGAGGGGCCTTTTTTTTTTTCGTGTGGAACAACTAATTTTGTCTGACCTGTGTAAATAAAATAACTTGCATTTTAACAATTCTTTTCAGAGTTTCCTCCAGGCATCTCTACCCCCCCCCCCCCCGAACGAAATTTATATAATTTATATAGAAAATATATACTTTTAACAGTGTCCGCCCCCCCCCCCCCGAAGAAAGTCCACCGCGCCCCCCCCCCCCGACAATTTCAAGTGCCCCCCCCCCCCCGGAGAAAAAAGTCTGGAAGAAACACTGATTCTTTTGAGCTAACAGAATCAAAATTATGGGAAAATTAAATGTACTTGGCCTATTATTGGTAAAGACAAATTTGGGGCCCCCAAAAATAGGGGCTCTGGTCGCTGTCTTCTAAGTCCCACCCCGGCGTAATCCGCCACTGATTCCGATCTAGAAGATTCATAGGCCTTGGGCATTCAAAATTACCGGCATAGTCTGGCCTAGACCCTATCTTACTACAGACCTGAATGTGCGCCACTGCGCATGAATTTTTCTTCACAAGGAAGAGTGTCATAAAATGGCGCTGCCCATGGTGAGTTTCTTTTACCTTGATGCTCATACTCATGTTATTACTTTATAGGCTAATATTCACTTTATCTTTATAAAGTTGTTTCATTTGACATTAAAGCTTTAAAGATTCTTGGATAGAACAGTTTCATTCGAAATACAATAATGTAGATCTAGAATGTAGATTCTAGATCTCTAGATTCTCGATTTTCTAGATCTAAATCTACTTAATCTAGCCATCATCATTCATACTTTCATACTCATATAGTCATATAAATATAGACATATAGATCTACTAGTCATATACTCATATCATATAGATCTACTTATAGAATCTAGATCTAGTCATAGACTCTAAAATTCACTCTAAAAAAATTAAAATAATCTAGAGTCTAGATCTAGAATCTAGATCTAATGACTAATCTAGTCTAGATCTAGATTTAGTCTGTCTAGAGACTAGAGATCTAGACTAGGTCTAGACTAGATTCTAGATCTAGAATCTAGATATCTAGATCTAGATTAGATCTAGAATTCTAGATCTAGAAATCTAGAACTGGATCTAGATCTAGATCTATTCAACTAGACTCTCTAGATCTAAATCTAGATCTAGAGTTACTGTGTTGGCCTCAGTTTTGGGGTCATTAACGACATTATAAGTTCATAAATGTTTATTTATAGTATCTTGGTGGCCCGGGAAATACTTGTAACAATACAAACTTAACCGCCTTGCAATTGTGAGTTATGTTTACCTAGCTAGGCCAATGCCGCTGCCGAGAAAATCGGACAAATCGGCTTTTCCCTACCCCCTGCATGTTTAAGTCTGTTTTTTGCATGATTTTATTGTGTTTATATTAACATGTTATACACCATTCTGTTCGTAATTGAATAACCTTTTAAACTGTATAATTTTGATTTTAATATGATTTCAAACGTTGAAGAAATCGCCGTTTAAATCGCATTTTTTACCCTCCGCGGCGACGTGCCGATTAGGGGGGAGGCTTTTTCGCCTTTTTAAAACAGGGGTGCTACTTTGAGTCTATAGACTCTTCGAGTTTTCGCCATTCAACAGTGAAACTTGGCAGAAATACAGATTAGATGTAGACGTATACAGCGCAGGGTTCGTCGTCAAAATATATTAAATATTTTCGGAGATATCGTACAGCAAAGTTGAACCAAGTTTCCAGGGTTATTTATAGACCGATTTTTAATTTGAACCCTGCGCTGTATTGCTGAAATCTGGACGTTTATTAATATGTATGATATGTACTATAATGCCCTAAGATAGAGACGTCTATAGACTTTGAAGTGGACCGAAAATCAAAACATAACGCGCCGACAGCTGGCCGACTGAACCGCTCGGCTGTGCTTCGAATCGCCCTCTTTACAAAGACGACGCGTTACAAAATTTTTATACACGAATCGAGTTTACGTACTACAACAGTGAAACTTGGCAGAAATACAGATTAGATATATACGTATACAGCGCAGGGTTCGTCGTCAAAATATATTAAATACTTTCGGAGATATCGTAAAGCAAAGTTGAACCAAGTTTCCCGGGTTATTTATAGACCGATTTTTAATTTGAACCCTGCGCTGTATTGCTGAAATCTGGACGTTTATTTATATGTATGATTTTCTCTACAATACCCCCAAATAAAGCCGCCCATACATTTTAAAATGGAGCAAAAATTAAAATTAACGCGCCGACCGCTGTCCGACTGCGTGCTCTGCTGTGTCGATCTACACACCGTGTGGCACATCCGAATGCCTGGTCACGTGACGCTAGGCGGTCGATCCGATTGGATGATACTGTAAACAATTTCTAAAGATAGATAGGCCTACATGTGTTCCCGTGTTAGACTCGACGGCTATTTCTATTTTATATAGATTAGATCTATAAGCCGACAGGCATGTTTCATAATTTTGTCCTTACCCATTTAAAGGGGAAAAAGTGTTATTAATATTTACGGCTCAGGTTTCAAATTTATCTTGTTTTTAAAATTAATCTAGATGGTTACTGAGTAAGTTACTGTCCGATTATAACAATTCTGCGTTTCGCGCACCCTAATTTCATTTAAAATTAGAGCATTTCTTTTTCATAAAAACGGCTTTAATTTTTTTCCCGGTCCCCCTATTTTTCACTACACACTTACATACGCTTAACAACGTGGAGGATACTAGCCTGCCAAATTGACCAAAAAGGGATGGGGTGGGTGTGGGTGGGCATTCTGTATAACACCCAACGTAACACCCATAGCCTACGTAAGCCTCACCCCGCCCCCACTAGTCCGTGACGCGACGAGCCGACGGTCGTCGCCTTTGATGTTGTACAACACCCGTACGGTACCTACTCAGTTCGTGGTGGATTCATACCCCACCTACCTCCCCCTTCACTTTGTGGAGTTGATGTTACTAACCCTCGGGCATAGATCAAGAAATCTTGCCAGACTTTTGTCTCTGAAAGTACATAATATTCGTCTGACACGTTCATCGGGTTGGCCGACTAGCCTATCCAGCGGTCGTGTTTATGTAATAGGGCAATAAAATTCGTTGGTCAGAAGATCTGGCTAGTCAGATTAAACAAAATCTAGGCAAAAGCTTGTGGTGGTACACCTGTCTCTGTATAGGCACACACCGTAATCTTACACAATTTCTAGAATCTACAAGATCTACACAGTCAAGCACTCAAACACATGCTTTTTTCTTAAGAAAGTTTTTAGTTGTAAAAGGCCTACTGGTAGACCTACAAAAATACATAAGCCTACTTACTACTAGCATAAACATTGGGCTTAAATATAATTTATGTTATAGACCTATAACTTACACTAGATCTATACCTTGTGCAAGTTTTTAAAAAAAAAATTTCCTCCAAAAAATATTTTATTGAAATTGTAAAAAGGAATAGTTTTAATATGGGTAATAATATTACGTAATTATCATAAAGCACACTCTGATTCTGATCAGACACATTTGTGACTAGACTAATTTTATAGCAAAATAACAAGAAATATAATTATAATGAAATAGGCCTAAATTTTGGAATAGAGTAGGCCTAAAGTATTGGACATAGATTACATAACATCTTTTAACAAGTTACATAATCACAAATTTACTATTGTAATAGCATTCTTCTCTTTGTATTGTAAAACTTGATTAGTTATATTTTCTTTTAGTAGGCTATTAACTTGAAGTTAACTGACAATGAGCAAAAGTGATTTCAAAACTAATTAATTGTATATTTTGAGCAAAGGGTGGTATTACATAACCTTAACATTTGATAGTTATGTAACAATGTTGGACCATTTTAAATACTACCATTAGCTTCAGCATATATAAATGTCATATTATAGATTAAAACAGTGTTACATTTAAACAATGACTTCTTATCACATTGATTATTAGATGTTTTAAAAAAATAGAAAGGGGGGTATTACATAATCTATGAGATTAGTTGATTATGTAATCGAAGGACACTTTTTAAAATAGCATCATTGGATTCGGCATACAAAAATCTATAAAATACCATAACATGACATCAATTGATGAAGTATGCTTGCTTTAATACCACTTTTAGTGAAAAACTCTTTAAAATTTGGTCCATACCCTCCCAGTATTTTTCCTCTTTCAGGGTCTACCCCGGTTGTCTGAAAAAACTGCTATTTTTTAATGACAAAAAAATTCATAACTTTTTTGTTTATGGTCAGATTTTGAAAATTTAAACTGATCTGTAATCAGATTGACAGCCCCTATCCAAATATGTAACTATTATATTGTTTTACTGAAATTAAATTTTTGCATTGGCCTAGCTAGTTTACCGTTTACCTACTTCACCCATTGCCATGAAAATTCTTACTGACATACGAACATAGCACATTCAATATTCTAAATTTGGTGGATTTTTCTCAAGTTTTGACAAAAGTAAATTATCAAAATCTAAAACAAAGTCAGTCTCTTTGTTTTTTTATTCATTTTTATTCATTTGTTTAAACAAAAATACAATACAAATAAATCGGCCTAAATCGTGCTTTCCTAATGTTTTGGTGTGTTACGGTTATTATAATAAAATACGCTCAACTGGAGGTAAACAAGAAGTGGAGAATAAAATAGTAAAATACGCTAAAATGGAGTTGACCGATTTAGGGGGGGGGGGTGTAAAAAAAAAATTGACTTTTGCGGACGCAGGGGGAGGGGGGGGAGGTTGGCCCAATGTGGACGTCCACACATTAAATCTAACATTATTTTTGGTAGTGTAAAAGAAAAATATTTCCTAGCAAAGCTAAAGTTCATCTGTCCTATCTCTCTGGCCCTTTAACCACCCAGCTTGGGGTCTATGCCACGGCTTAACCTCAAATACAATAGGGTATCCCATTACGTCTTTCCCCAAATTATTAAGCTCAGATCTCAGACGAGTCTGTCTGTGCAGCGTGCAGCATCCACCAAGCTCAGATGAGTACCTGACCCAAGGGAAAGTAAAGATAGCTTGGCATAGAGCTAACCACACCATCACTTCATGTGCAGTGGTCAAGAAACAGATAAACTCTACTTCAGCTGCTCTATGGATGATGGATTGACAGGTCCAAAAGGAAAACTACTTTAATATATACTAGGGTCTTTATCAGACCCTATTGATATTTTGGTACAACTAATCAATAGAAAAACCTTAAATTCTTGTAAAAGTTATTAAAGGTTACAGGTTAAAGCGGCCAGCAGAAAATATTATATTTATAATTGTCATTCCTTGTTGATTCCATAAACTGTTCTTAAAAATATTTTCAAAAACAGATAGTTTTAATGGAAACAGGGCATTAACCCCCCCCCCCCCCCGTCAATTATCCCCCGTCATTACCCCACGGAGTAATTACCCTCAGTCATAGCTTAAGGTTCAGCTAGGGATTGAGTTTGGGCTAGGGTTAGTGTTAGGATCAGGGTTAGGCTTAAATCAATGTCTAGAGTTGGGTTTGGTTTTTGGTTTATTTTAGGGTGAGGTGAATTCTTAGGTTTTTCATCTTTGCCTTAAGGTTAGGATTAAGGTAATATATTGGTATAGAGTTGGAGTTAGAAGGGGGGGGGGGGTTATTCCCCAGGGGGGTAATTGACAGGAGGGGAAATGTCAGGAGGGGGGAGGGGGTGGTAATGTCCTGTAGCCAATTTTAATAGTACCTATGAAACAAAAATCCACATTGAAAATAAAAAAAATCCAGTTACCCTTTTTGATTTTTCCTTAAGTATTTTTGTGTTTAATTACTTATTTTATTTAAAATGTTATATCTAATATATAAAGCTCAGTTCTGTATGTAATGCATATGTTTGTCGTTGGTCATGGATGAATTTAAGTGTTAGAAAATTATCGTGCGCATTTGTCTAAATTTATGAGCTAAAAAATTATTATTGAAAGTGTTGGGAAATAATTTTCATTTTTCAAATTATAGTAATAATTGTCGGCATGTTCATTAAACACAAGTTTAAAAAATATATCATCTTTTACAAAAATTCTAATTATGTCTTTATTTAGTCCTATAGCACTTACTTCCCTTTGATAAATTAGGAAAACAAAATTACTCCCCTTTATAAAACCATTGCATTTTGTGGAAAATAATTTACTTTTTAATTACTTTGTTTTGGTGTTGGGAAAAAAAAATAATTACATAATTAGCGGGGATTGATCAAGTGCAAATGTTGTAGGTATTTTACGGATAAGCTTGGAGTATTAAAATTGTTCATTAAATTGAAACAGGCGCGTTAGTTTAAGTTAGTGCAAAAGACTATGAATAAGTTGGGGTACTATAGTTGTTCATTAAGCTAAAACAGGTGATTCCGCCCCGGGCGTTTATGTTCGCGTTAGTGTTTTCTTTGTGTTTAGGTGGGTTTGCGTTAGTGGTTTCGTTTTGATTTGGTTCGTTTTTGTTCTTTCTTTTTTCGTTTTTGTTTGTGATTTTTTTGTTTGGGTTTGTATTTGTGTTTTTGGTTGGTTTTGCGTTTGGATTTGGTTTGTTTTCGTTTGCTTTTTCGTTGTTTATTTTTTTTTGTTGGTATTGGTGTTTGTGGTTGGGTTTGTTGTTAGGTTTTTGTTTTCGTTTGCTTTTTTGTTTGTTTTTTCTTTGTGTTTGTATTGGTGTTTGTGGTTGTGGTTGGGTTTGTTGTTAGGTTTTTGTTTTCGTTTGTATTTGTAATTGTGTTAGCGTTATGTTTGTGTTTTGTTGTTTTGGTTGGTTGTGGTTTGGGTGGGCAATGCCGGGTTTATGATGATTACTAAACACACAGGTGATGGTCTTTAACAGAAAGGTTTTTCACAGAGGCCAGAGCAGGGCCTGGCCGGGACGGCTAGTTTTATTATAAATGAGCATATTAACAATAGGCCGATTTTGATAAAATCTAGCCATAAAAAAGGTAAAACAACAACAAAATTTGGTTTAAAAAAACATCGTAAAATTTAGAGACATATTTATGTGATAAACACTATCTAGATAAATACCATTATATTTTCATGTAGCCTGGGCTTGAGTTAAGTTTAGAATTAAAGCCACATGTATTTCTACTTTAGGTTATAATTGTGATGTAGAGAAGTTTTTATAAAGTAAGCAGCTACCATCATTAGGTCTAAGCTACATTGACATTGTTTAATGTTTGTATTAGGTCTTACATTGTTTAATGTTTGTATTAGGTCTTACATTGTTTAATGTTTGTATTAGGTCTTACATTGTTTAATGTTTGTATTAGGTCTTACATTGTTTAATGTTTGTATTAGGTCTTACATTGTTTAATGTTTGTATTAGGTCTTACATTGTTAAATGTTTGCAGTAGGTCTTACATTGTTTAATGTTTGTATTAGGTCTTACATTGTTTAATGTTTGTATTAGGTCTTACATTGTTTAATGTTTGTATTAGGTCTTACATTGTTTAATGTTTGTATTAGGTCTTACATTGTTTAATGTTTGTATTAGGTCTTACATTGTTAAATGTTTGCAGTAGGTCTTACATTGTTTAATGTTTGTATTAGGTCTTACATTGTTTAATGTTTGCAGTAGGTCTTACATTGTTTAATGTTTGTATTAGGTCTTACATTGTTTAATGTTTGCAGTAGGTCTTACATTGTTTAATGTTTGCAGTAGGTCTTACATTGACATTGTTTAATGTTTGTATTAGGTCTGACATTGTTTAATGTTTGCAGTAGGTCTTACATTGTTTAATGTTTGCAGTAGGTCTTACGTTGTTTAATGTTTGCAGTAGGTCTTACATTGTTTAATGTTTGCAGTAGGTCTTACATTGTTTAATGTTTGCAGTAGGTCTTACATTGACATTGTTTAATGTTTGTATTAGGTCTTACATTGTTTAATGTTTGCAGTAGGTCTTACATTGACATTGTTTCATGTTTGCAGTAGGTCTTACATTGTTTAATGTTTGCAGTAGTCTTACATTGTTTAATGTTTGTATTAGGTCTTACATTGTTTAATGTTTGCAGTAGGTCTTACATTGTTTAATGTTTGTATTAGGTCTTACATTGTTTAATGTTTGCAGTAGGTCTTACATTGTTTAATGTTTGTATTAGGTCTTACATTGTTTAATGTTTGCAGTAGGTCTTACATTGTTTAATGTTTGTATTAGGTCTTACATTGTTTAATGTTTGCAGTAGGTCTTACATTGTTTAATGTTTGCAGTAGGTCTTACATTGTTTAATGTTTGCAGTAGGTCTTACATTGACATTGTTTAATGTTTGTATTAGGTCTTACATTGTTTAATGTTTGCAGTAGGTCTTACATTGTTTAATGTTTGCAGTAGGTCTTACATTGTTTAATGTTTGTAGTAGGTCTTACATTGTTTAATGTTTGCAGTAGGTCTTACATTGTTTAATGTTTGCAGTAGGTCTTACATTGTTTAATGTTTGCAGTAGGTCTTACATTGACATTGTTTAATGTTTGTATTAGGTCTTACATTGTTTAATGTTTGCAGTAGGTCTTACATTGTTTAATGTTTGCAGTAGGTCTTACATTGTTTAATGTTTGCAGTAGGACTTACATTCAAATTGTTTCATGTTTGCAGTAGGTCTTACAGTGTAACATTTAGCTGCTGTCAGATACAGTGTTGAAGATGTCAAAACGTGGAGCCATCTCAGATTTAAATGACAGAAACTGGGATGAGGAAGAGGAGCCAGAAGAGGTTGGTAAATGCTTTTTTTACTATAGTAAAGTCCGGTTCCCAGAAAGAAGTGCAACGGAAATACGTGCGACAGAAAAATGCGCACACAGAAAATGTCAAAAAGAGAAATGTGCGTACACAGAAAAACATGCAAATGAAAAAATTGTGCACAAAAATGACACACAGATTGCTCACCAATGAGAATTACGGTAATGTGTGTTTTTGTGTGCAGGTTTGATTTTGCATGCGCCTATGTATTTACAGGCAGATGTATTTTATTTCAATGTGTGTATATTTTTTAATAGAATAATAATGTGGCCTCACTTTCTAAAATAAATAGAATGATAAACTGCTATGGTTCTCCGATTATAGAGGACAGTGGGGTGGGTGTAGGCGTAAGCGTAGTCATGCAAACCATGTTTTGTCATATCATCTGTGATTACACAGCCCTTTTTGACAAACTGCTGTGTACAACCCTTCATCTATGGTCGATACAACTCCAGTCAACAACATCATTGAATGTATGATTGGAAAAACTTAGCAATTTATGTAGCAGTTTATGTTTCAATGCATTATAGAAAATTAAAGAAAACAATTAAAATAAATTAGAATAAAATATATATGTCTGTGTATACACACACAGACCAACTTAAACATGCAAGCATAAACACACACACATTGTGAAGCTCATAACTGCCGAGAGATCTGTGTGTTATTTTCTGTAATTTTTCTAATTTGCACATTTTTCTGTGTTGCCTGTATCCATAACAGGATGTACACTATTGCAAAGGTCATTTCTGTATCCACAACAAGATGTACACTATTGCAAAGGTCATTTCTCTATCCACAACAAGATGTACACTATTGTATAGGTCATGTTGTCTGTATCCACAACAGGATGTACACTATTGTATATGTCATGTTGTCTGTATCCACAACAGGATGTACACTAATGTATATGTCATGTTGCCTGTATCCACAACAGGATGTACACTATTGTATGTCATGTTGCCTGTATCCACAACAGGATGTACACTATTGTATATGTCATGTTGCCTGTATCCACAACAGGATGTACACTATTGTATGTCACGTTGCCTGTATCCACAACAGGATGTACACTATTGTATATGTCATGTTGCCTGTATCCACAACAGGATGTACACTATTGTATATGTCATGTTGCCTGTATCCACAACAGGATGTACACTATTGTATATGTCATGTTGTCTGTATCCACAACAGGATGTACACTATTGTATATGTCATGTTGTCTGTATCCACAACAGGATGTACACTATTGTATGTCATGTTGCCTGTATCCACAACAGGATGTACACTATTGTATATGTCATGTTGTCTGTATCCACAACAGGATGTACACTATTGTATATGTCATGTTGCCTGTATCCACAACAGGATGTACACTATTGTATATGTCATGTCTGTATCCACAACAGGATGTACACTATTGTATATGTCATGTTGTCTGTATCCACAACAGGATGTACACTATTGTATATGTCATGTTGCCTGTATCCACAACAGGATGTACACTATTGTATATGTCATGTTGCCTGTATCCACAACAGGATGTACACTATTGTATATGTCATGTTGTCTGTATCCACAACAGGATGTACACTATTGTATATGTCATGTTGCCTGTATCCACAACAGGATGTACACTATTGTATATGTCATGTTGTCTGTATCCACAACAGGATGTACACTATTGTATATGTCATGTTGTCTGTATCCACAACAGGATGTACACTATTGTATATGTCATGTCTGTATCCATAACAGGCTGGCGTGTTTAAGCAGGCAACAGAAGATGTTCTACAGCAGAGGGTCATGAAGAAAGCAAAGCGCAGGACTGTAGCAGATGATGGCTCCGTAAGTCTTGACCAATGGCAGTTATGTAAAATGTTAGAAAGTATCCAGCCACAAGTAATTGTCATTATTGTTGAAGTAGATCACTTAAACAGTTAAAAGTTGCACTTATTCACCTTTAGTTTGATAACATTTGATTATCAAAATTAATCGATAGCCTAGAAAATGATTTTTGAAAAAATGTATTTGGTTTTAAAACGCTAGGATGTTAAGACTGATACAAAGGGTTAGTTTTTTAGGAGTGTTGTTTTGACAAGATTGAACATTCAGCAGAAATGTGTCGTCTGCTAGATTTCTTCCCATTCAAATACACTGCTGGCAAAATGGGCGGGCTTAGTTGGCTGTTTTTCTCGATCAAGTTATTTTTTTAAGGATTTTTTTCCCCTGATGAATTTTTAAAAATCAGTGAAATTAGTTTAAGACTATAACTATAATTTTTTTCAAATCAGTGAAATGAGTTTAGTAAGACTATAATTTTCTTTAAGACATAACAAGTTTGAGTGTTGACACAATAGTATATAAAGTTTTTCTAAACATATGTTCTGCTCAATATTCTCAGTGATTAGGGCAAAACAAAAGGCAAGTTTACATCTCACACAAATCATCCATTGTTAAAAGTAGATAGTTCTCCTTGAATAAAATGCAAAAATAACAAGTTTGTGTTGTTGAAATAACATGTTGAATCATTGGTAAAAAATGGAATACCAGGTATCTTCTTTTTCTGCGGCCATAATTACCATGACAAGAGTAAAATAAGTTTAAAAAAGTATTGATTATTGTCACATTTTGTTCCATGTCGTGACATGTCTGTTCCAGAAGCCTGCTGCCTTTTCAGGCTTTGCTGGTCTGGGAGGCAAGTCTGCCCCAAATGTTGCTGGTCAAGTCCCATCTTTTGCTGCTGCTTCCTCCATCAATGGCACTCAAAGTGTAGACTCTAAGGAATCTTCCTCCTATCTCAGCTTTCTCAAGTCACTCAATGAAAGTGTCCTGGCTTGGATTAAACAGCACGTGGAAGAGAACCCGTACATTATTCTCAGTCCAATTTTTAAAGACTATGAGGTTTATTTGTCTAGCATTGAGAAGTCGCCCAGTGCAGTTGGCAGGAAGGAGGTAACAAGAGATCCCACTGGCAGTGGCACCAGCCAACCAGAAGAGAAAGGAGCTAAATTCTCTTTTGGCTCAGCGTCCTCAGAAGAGAAAGGAGCTAAATTCTCTTTTGGCTCAGCATCCTCAGAAGAGAAAGGAGCTAAGTTCTCTTTTGGTTTGGCTGCATCAGAGGCTTGTAAAGGTTTTTCTTTTGCTCCAGGTAAGTTTTCTTTTTTCCAAATTTTTTAATGCCTTATTACTGCTATATATCTACTACTTAATTGCTTCTATTATTTTTTTTTTAAAGGCCTCCCTGCCTACTGTTGTTGAAAAAAATTGAGGCCTAGCATGACTGCTTGTACTCTTCAACCATGTTCTTGTTTTATCACCAGCAAGTGGCCAAGCGGCCCAGAATGATTTGAAATCTGGCCAGAAAACAGAAACAGTTCCCAATAACAAACCAGCATTTTCTTTTGGGCTGTCATCTCAGTCTTCAGGATTTTCTTTCACATCTACAGCAAGCTCTGGCGCTACAGCTTCATTAGGGGCAGGCTCATCACAGGATGGTGACACCAAAGGTTTGTTTTGTTAGGGGGCAGGCTCATCACAGGATGGTGACACCAAAGGTTTGTTTTGTTGGGGGGCAGGCTCATCACAGGATGGTGACACCAAAGGTTTGTTTTGTTAGGGGGCAGGCTCATCACAGGATGGTGACACCAAAGGTTTGTTTTGTTAGGGGGCAGGCTCATCACAGGATGGTGACACCAAAGGTTTGTTTTGTTAGGGGGCAGGCTCATCACAGGATGGTGACACCAAAGGTTTGTTTTGTTAGGGAGCAGGCTCATCACAGGATGGTGACACCAAAGGTTTGTTTTGTTAGGTGGGGTGGATCATATTTAAAAAAAATTAAAACACTAGCTTTCAATAACGCTAATGAGCTCTAGGATTTTATTTTTGTCCGCAGACGATGACGAGTATGTTCCCCCCAAACCAGAGGTCAAAGAAATTGTGGAAGAGGGAGCGCTCCATTCCATAAGGTGACATAACATTCACTTTCTCTGGGTTGTCACATTACTTACTTGTTAAAATCAATAAGGTGACATAACATTCACTTTCTCTGGGTTGTCACATTACTTACTTTTTAAAATCAATAAGGTGACATAACATTCACTTTCTCTGGGTTGTCACATTACTTACTTGTTAAAATCACTGCCACTGTAATGATGTCACATTGTCATTTTTAAGCCTTTTGTCGTCATTTCAAATATATTTGCTTAAATTAGTTTCATTTTGTGAAATCTGCTTGGATACTTTGAAAAAAATGAATGCTAAATGTTTGTCATGTATTTGAAACAAAGTTATGAGACAGCCTAATGTTTACCCTTGTTGGTAAATCTCGTCTGTGTAGTAGACAGTCCAATGGAATCTTGTCTGTGTAGTAGACAGCAGTCCAAATGGAATCTTGTCTGTGTAGTAGACAGCAGTCCAAATGGAATCTTGTCTGTGTAGTAGACAGCAGTCCAAATGGAATCTTGTCTGTGTAGTAGACAGTCCAATGGAATCTTGTATGTGTAGTAGACAGTCCAATGAAATCTTGTATGTGTAGTAGACAGTCCAATGAAATCTTGTATGTGTAGTAGACAGTCCAATGAAATCTTGTATGTGTAGTAGACAGTCCAATGGAATCTTGTCTGTTTAGATGTAAGCTGTATCACCAGAAGGATGGCAAGTGGGTGGACAGGGGAGTTGGACACCTGCACCTTAAGCCTGTAGCTGAGAGGAAAACCCAGGTGTTGGTCAGGGCAGACACAAACTTAGGTCAGTGGACATTATTTTTACATCTTGTGGGGGGGGGGGGGGACCTAGGGGATTTTACACCATGGGTGGGTGGGGTATTTAAGTTGAGAGTAATTTTCTTTCTATTCTTCCACTGACTTTCCCCAGGCAACATCCTGCTGAATGTAATGCTTAGCTCCAGCATGCCTGTGACCAGGCAGGGTAAAAACAATGTCGTTGTTGTGTGTGTTCCCAACCCAGCCATAGACAGCAAGGGGGAGGAGGAGAAAACTCCCGTCCCCATGCTGCTCAGGGTCAAGACGCAGGAGGAAGCTGATGACCTTTACAAGATTATAGATGAAAGGAAGAAACTACTTTGATGCTAGATGGGTAGGGTGGGTGGGCGTTTGAAATGTTTTCTCTGTATAACTGGTATATGCAAAGTTTGTCCACATAGGCTGGAGACAATGTATGTGTGGGGGAAGATTTGCTTTTCCATTATCATATTCATGTTACTGCAGTACAACTTGTGTATTATATTACGGAACAATAAAATGTTTTGGTCATCATGCAAGCATTTTTTGGTCTCCTGACTTTTACAACTGTATGTCTTAAGTTTGTTTGACATGTTTCTTGAGCTGTCTGATAAATCTGTCATCAATTTCAAGCTGCGCAACATCATAAACCAAACTGTATGTCTTAGTTGTTTGACATGTTTCTTGAACTGTCTGATAAATCTGTCATCAATTTCAAGCTGCGCAACATCATAAACCATGCGGCAGGGCAATTGAGTTCCTTGGCCCAGAGATTAGAGTGTCACTTTGTGTTGCCAGCCAGTGAAGCTGTGGTCAGCACATGGTCAACGTCAGCGCTACCATGAGGGGTGTAGTCAAGCCAAATGTGACAGCGCTACCATGGGGGGTGTAGTCAAGCCAATTGTGACAGCGCTACCATGAGGGGTGTAGTCAAGCCAAATGTGACAGCGCTACCATGGGGGGTGTAGTCAAGCCAAATGTGACAGCGCTACCATGAGTGGTGTAGTCAAGCCAATTGTGACAGCGCTACCATGAGGAGTGTAGTCAAGCCAAATGTGACAGCACTACCATGAGGGGTGTAGTCAAGCCAAATGACAGCACTACCATGAGGGGTGTAGTCAAGCCAAATGTGCCAATAAAGTTGGGTACAAGAATGAGACCTCCTCATTTCTCTGCACACTAGGTGGAGTATCAGATGGTGCCCCACTTGATGGTGTCACACCACCCTCCAAGGAATAGATCGGTGTCACACCACCCTCCAAGGAATAGATCTTTAGGATGTTTTGGACCTATGGTCATTATACTCAACGGCAAATATATTAGTTTTTTAAAATGGCCTAACAAAAAACACGTATTAAAAAAATGATAGACCCTGTTTTTTTATTGTAGGAAAGGTCACAGGATAAAAAGTCACAAATGTGCATTAGCATGGAATTCATTAATACTTTTGTTTTCAATAAGTGCAAATCAGCATACAATTAATTCAATATAATTTAAACATTTAAGATGAGTGTAGTTTGTGTCTCAGCTTTCCATGACAAGACAGAATGAATGTCCAGCCCCGCAGCCTACCTGCGTTACCTTGTTTGAGAAAGGCAATTTGTAAGGATAGAAAACATTGTGCTCATTTCCTGTTCCACATATCCCATGCTCGTTCCAGCCCCAGGAGTAAGCCGCACCATTTGCTGGCAATGGAAAACATACATTAGAGCTAGCCTGTGTCAACAACCCACCTGCTACAGCTAGCCTGTGTCAACCCACCTGCTACAGCTAGCCTGTGTAAACAACCCACCCGCTACAGCTAGCCTGTTTCAACAACCCACCTGCTACAGCTAGCCTGTGTCAACAACCCACCTGCTACAGCTAGCCTGTGTCAACAACCCACCTGCTACAGTTAGCCTGTCAACCCACCTGCTACAGCTAGCCTGTGTCAACAACCCACTCGCTACAGCTAGCCTGTGTCAACAACCCACCTGCTACAGCTAGCCTGTGTCAACAACCCACCTGCTACAATTAGCCTGTCAACCCACCTGCTACAGCTAGCCTGTGTCAACAACCCACTCGCTACAGCTAGCCTGTGTCAACAACCCACCTGCTACAGCTAGCCCGTGTCAACAACCCACCTGCTACAGCTAGCCTGTGTCAACAACCCACCTGCTACAGCTAGCCTGTGTCAACAACCCACCTGCTACAGCTAGCCCGTGTCAACAACCCACCTGCTACAGCTAGCCTGTGTCAACAACCCACCTGCTACAGTTAGCCTGTCAACCCACCTGCTACAGCTAGCCTGTGTCAACAACCCACTCGCTACAGCTAGCCTGTGTCAACAACCCACCTGCTACAGCTAGCCTGTGTCAACAACCCACCTGCTACAGCTAGCCTGTCAACCCACCTGCTACAGCTAGCCTGGCAACCCACCTGCTACAGCTAGCCTGTGTCAACAACCCACCTGCTACAGCTAGCCTGTGTCAACAACCCACCTGCTACAGCTAGCCCGTGTCAACAACCCACCTGCTACAGCTAGCCCGTGTCAACAACCCACCTGCTACAGCTAGCCTGTGTCAACAACCCACCTGCTACAGCTAGCCTGTGTCAACAACCCACCTGCTACAGCTAGCCTGTGTCAACAACCCACCTGCTACAGCTAGCCTGTGTCAACAACCCACCTGCTACAGCTAGCCCGTGTCAACAACCCACCTGCTACAGCTAGCCTGTGTCAACAACCCACCTGCTACAGCTAGCCTGTGTCAACAACCCACCTGCTACAGCTAGCCCGTGTCAACAACCCACCTGCTACAGCTAGCCTGTCAACCCACCTGCTACAGCTAGCCTGTGTCAACAACCCACCTGCTACAGCTAGCCTGTCAACCCACCTGCTACAGCTAGCCTGTGTCAACAACCCACCTGCTACAGCTAGCCTGTGTCAACAACCCACCTGCTACAGCTAGCCCGTGTCAACAACCCACCTGCTACAGCTAGCCTGTCAACCCACCTGCTACAGCTAGCCTGTGTCAACAACCCACCTGCTACAGCTAGCCTGTGTCAACAACCCACCTGCTACAGCTAGCCCGTGTCAACAACCCACCTGCTACAGCTAGCCCGTGTCAACAACCCACCTGCTACAGCTAGCCTGTCAACCCACCTGCTACAGCTAGCCTGTGTCAACAACCCACCTGCTACAGCTAGCCTGTGTCAACAACCCACCTGCTACAGCTAGCCTGTGTCAACAACCCACCTGCTACAGCTAGCCTGTGTCAACAACCCACCTGCTACAGCTAGCCCGTGTCAACAACCCACCTGCTACAGCTAGCCTGTCAACCCACCTGCTACAGCTAGCCCGTGTCAACAACCCACCTGCTACAGCTAGCCTGTCAACCCACCTGCTACAGCTAGCCCGTGTCAACAACCCACCTGCTACAGCTAGCCCGTGTCAACAACCCACCTGCTACAGCTAGCCTGTGTCAACAACCCACCTGCTACAGCTAGCCTGTGTCAACAACCCACCTGCTACAGCTAGCCTGTCAACCCACCTGCTACAGCTAGCCTGTGTCAACAACCCACCTGCTACAGCTAGCCCGTGTCAACAACCCACCTGCTACAGCTAGCCTGTCAACCCACCTGCTACAGCTAGCCCGTGTCAACAACCCACCTGCTACAGCTAGCCCGTGTCAACAACCCACCTGCTACAGCTAGCCTGAACCCACCTGCTACAGCTAGCCTGTGTCAACAACCCACCTGCTACAGCTAGCCTGTGTCAACAACCCACCTGCTACAGCTAGCCTGAACCCACCTGCTACAGCTAGCCTGTGTCAACAACCCACCTGCTACAGCTAGCCCGTGTCAACAACCCACCTGCTACAGCTAGCCCGTGTCAACAACCCACCTGCTACAGCTAGCCTGAACCCACCTGCTACAGCTAGCCTGTGTCAACAACCCACCTGCTACAGCTAGCCTGTGTCAACAACCCACCTGCTACAGCTAGCCTGAACCCACCTGCTACAGCTAGCCTGTGTCAACAACCCACCTGCTACAGCTAGCCTGAACCCACCTGCTACAGCTAGCCTGTGTCAACAACCCACCTGCTACAGCTAGCCTGTGTCAACAACCCACCTGCTACAGCTAGCCTGTGTCAACAACCCACCTGCTACAGCTAGCCCGTGTCAACAACCCACCTGCTACAGCTAGCCTGAACCCACCTGCTACAGCTAGCCTGTGTCAACAACCCACCTGCTACAGCTAGCCTGTGTAAACAACCCACCTGCTACAGCTAGCCCGTGTCAACAACCCACCTGCTACAGCTAGCCTGAACCCACCTGCTACAGCTAGCCTGTGTCAACAACCCACCTGCTACAGCTAGCCTGTGTCAACAACCCACCTGCTACAGCTAGCCTGTGTCAACAACCCACCTGCTACAGCTAGCCTGAACCCACCTGCTACAGCTAGCCTGTGTCAACAACCCACCTGCTACAGCTAGCCTGAACCCACCTGCTACAGCTAGCCTGTGTCAACAACCCACCTGCTACAGCTAGCCTGTGTCAACAACCCACCTGCTACAGCTAGCCTGTGTCAACAACCCACCTGCTACAGCTAGCCCGTGTCAACAACCCACCTGCTACAGCTAGCCTGAACCCACCTGCTACAGCTAGCCTGTGTCAACAACCCACCTGCTACAGCTAGCCTGTGTAAACAACCCACCTGCTACAGCTAGCCTGTGTCAACAACCCACCTGCTACAGCTAGCCTGTGTCAACAACCCACCTGCTACAGCTAGCCTGTGTCAACAACCCACCTGCTACAGCTAGCCTGTGTCAACAACCCACCTGCTACAGCTAGCCTGTGTCAACAACCCACCTGCTACAGCTAGCCTGTGTCAACAACCCACCTGCTACAGCTAGCCTGAACCCACCTGCTACAGCTAGCCCGTGTCAACAACCCACCTGCTACAGCTAGCCTGTGTCAACAACCCACCTGCTACAGCTAGCCTGAACCCACCTGCTACAGCTAGCCTGTGTCAACAACCCACCTGCTACAGCTAGCCTGTGTCAACAACCCACCTGCTACAGCTAGCCTGTGTCAACAACCCACCTGCTACAGCTAGCCCGTGTCAACAAACCACCTGCTACAGCTAGCCTGGCAACCCACCTGCTACAGCTAGCCTGGCAACCCACCTGCTACAGCTAGCCTGAACCCACCTGCTACAGCTAGCCTGTGTCAACAACCCACTCGCTACAGCTAGCCTGTGCCAACAACCCACCTGCTACAGCTAGCCTGTGTCAACAACCCACCTGCTACAGCTAGCCTGTCAACCCACCTGCTACAGCTAGCCTGTGTCAACAACCCACCTGCTACAGCTAGCCTGTGTCAACAACCCACCTGCTACAGCTAGCCTGAACCCACCTGCTACAGCTAGCCTGTCAACCCACCTGCTACAGCTAGCCTGTGTCAACAACCCACCTGCTACAGCTAGCCTGTCAACCCACCTGCTACAGCTAGCCTGTGTCAACAACCCACCTGCTACAGCTAGCCTGTGTCAACAACCCACCTGCTACAGCTAGCCTGTGTCAACAACCCACCTGCTACAGCTAGCCTGTGTCAACAACCCACCTGCTACAGCTAGCCTGGCAACCCACCTGCTACAGCTAGCCTGTCAACCCACCTGCTACAGCTAGCCTGTGTCAACAACCCACCTGCTACAGCTAGCCTGTGTCAACAACCCACCTGCTACAGCTAGCCTGTGTCAACAACCCACCTGCTACAGCTAGCCTGTGTCAACAACCCACCTGCTACAGCTAGCCTGTGTCAACAACCCACCTGCTACAGCTAGCCTGAACCCACCTGCTACAGCTAGTGTGTGCTCAGAACCACACGTGTGAAAGCGGATGCTAGGTATGCCATCAATCTTCGCCAAAATGTGCTCATACATTTGATCACATGCTCTGCCTAGCTGACCAAGGTCACCACGACCCCAACTGTACAGATCTCCTTCATCTGAAAAACTTTCATTCAATTAATCCAAGGGGGCAGTAATCTCGCTTTTACCTCCACAAACTGTAACACATCTCTTGTTCACTACCTCAAGGTCACACATGTTCACTACCTCAAGGTCACACATCTCATGTTCACTACCCCAAGGCCACACATATCATGTTCACTACCTCAAGGTCACACATGTTCACTACCTCAAAGTCACACATGTTCACTACCTCAAGGTCACACATCTCATGTTCACTACCTCAAGATCACACATTACCACTACCTCAAGGTCACACATCTCATGTTTACTACCTCAAGGTCACACATCTCACGTTCACTACCTCAAGGTCACACATCTCATGTTCACTACCTCAAGGTCACACATCTCATATTCACTACCTCAAGGTCACACATCTCATGTTCACTACCTCAAGGTCACACATCTCATGTTCACACATCTCATATTCACTACATCAAGGTCACGCATCTCATATTCACTACCTCAAGGTCACACATCTCATGTTCACTACCTCAAGGTCACACATCTCATGTTCACTACCTCAAGGTCACACACCTCATGTTCACTACCTCAAGGTCACACATCTCATGTTCACTACCTCAAGGTCACACATCTCATGTTCACTACCTCAAGGTCACACATCTCACGTTCACTACCTCAAGGTCACACATCTCATGTTCACTACCTCAAGGTCACACATCTCATGTTCACACATCTCATATTCACTACATCAAGGTCACGCATCTCATGTTCACTACCTCAAGGTCACACATCTCATGTTCACTACCTCAAGGTCACACATCTCATGTTCGCTACCTCAAGGTCACACATGTTCACTACCTCAAGGTCACACACATTCACTACCTCAAAGTCACACATCTCATGTTCACTACCTCAAGGTCACACATCTCATGTGGTTACCTGTTTTGACAACAATGTGACTCCACCCACAAGAAATGTCAACAAATCTTTTCTGCTCTGCTAATGTACAGCTGACTCTGGTTGCCATGGCGACAAGTGTTTGTTCTGCTGGGCTGACATGGCACTGCCCAAACTTGTTACATCCCCACATGTACACCTGACCAGTACCTGCAACATCAACATATGCCATCTTTACCTGCAACATCAACATATGCCATCTTTACCTGCAACATCAACATATGCCATCTTTACCTGCAACATCAACATATGCCATCTTTACCTGCAACATCAACATATGCCATCTTTACCTGCAACATCAACATATGCCATCTTTACCTGCAACATCAACATATGCCATCTTTACCTGCAACATCAACATATGCCATCTTTACCTGCAACATCAACATATGCCATCTTTACCTGCAACATCAACATATGCCATCTTTACCTGTAACATCAACATATGCCATCTTTACCTGCAACATCAACATATGCCATCTTTACCTGCAACATCAACATATGCCATCTTTACCTGCAACATCAACATATGCCATCTTTACCTGCAGCATCAACATATGCCATCTTTACCTGCAGCATCAACATATGCCATCTTTACCTGCAACATCAACATATGCCATCTTTACCTGCAACATCAACATATGCCATCTTTACCTGCAACATCAACATATGCCATCTTTACCTGCAACATCAACATATGCCATCTTTACCTGTACTGACAGTTACAAGTCTATCTTTACCTGTAAAGTATTTTATCTCCCTTTTTAATTTGATAATGGCAAATTGTAACTTAAATTGCCTCTCTTATTAAATAAACATATTTGTGTATCAAGGAAGAACGTATCTGGAAAGTCCGAATGAAATTGAAGTGGGTGGAAATTGAATAGAAGATTTGCCACAAACTTACAAGCAAACAAACAGTGTTTCTTCCAGACTTTTCTCTTGGAGGGGGGGGGGGGGGGGGGTGTGGGCACTTGATATTTTAGGGGGGGGGGGTGGTCCATGGTGGGGAAAAAGGGACATCCTTAAGAGTCAATTTCAGGATTTGAACTTTTGGGGTAGCAGTCATCTGCCCTCTTACCACACCATCCCATAATTTGACCCTTTACAAAATTTGACCAGACCATCCCATAATTTGACCTATACAAAATTTGACCAGACCATATAATAAGTCTACTTGTACAAAATTTGACCAGACTATATCATAAGTCTACCTTACAAAATTTGACCAGACCATATCATAACTTTACCTGTACAAAATTTGACCAGACCATATCATAACTTTACCTGTACAAAATTTGACCAGACCATATCATAAGTCTACCTGTACAAAATTTGACCAGACCATATCATAAGTCTACCTGTACAAAATTTGACCAGACCATATCATAACTTTACCTGTACAAAATTTGACCAGACCATATAATAAGTCTACTTGTACAAAATTTGACCAGACCATATCATAAGTCTACCTGTACAAAATTTGACCAGACCATATCATAAGTCTACCTGTACAAAATTTGACCAGACCATATCATAACTTTACCTGTACAAAATTTGACCAGACCATATCATAACTTTACCTGTACAAAATTTGACCAGACCATATCATAAGTCTACTTGTACAAAATTTGACCAGGCTATATCATAAGTCTACCTGTACAAAATTTGACCAGACCATATCATAACTTTACCTGTACAAAATTTGACCAGACCATATCATAACTTTACCTGTACAAAATTTGACCAGACCATATCATAAGTCTACCTGTACAAAATTTGACCAGGCCATATCATAACTTTACCTGTACAAAATTTGACTAGACCATATCATAACTTTACCTGTACAAAATTTGACCAGACCATATCATAACTTTACCTGTACAAAATTTGACCAGACCATATCATAAGTCTACCTGTACAAAATTTGACCAGACCATATCATAACTTTACCTGTACAAAATTTGACCAGACCATATCATAACTTTACCTGTACAAAATTTGACCAGACCATATCATAAGTCTACTTGTACAAAATTTGACCAGGCTATATCATAAGTCTACCTGTACAAAATTTGACCAGACCATATCATAACTTTACCTGTACAAAATTTGACCAGACCATATCATAACTTTACCTGTACAAAATTTGACCAGACCATATCATAACTTTACCTGTACAAAATTTGACCAGACCATATCATAAGTCTACCTGTACAAAATTTGACCAGACCATATCATAAGTCTACCTGTACAAAATTTGACCAGACCATATCATAACTTTACCTGTACAAAATTTGACCAGACCATATCATAAGTCTACCTGTACAAAATTTGACCAGACTATATCATAAGTCTACCTGTACAAAATTTGACCAGACCATATCATAACTTTACCTGTACAAAATTTGACCAGACCATATCATAACTTTACCTGTACAAAATTTGACCAGACCATATCATAACTTTACCTGTACAAAATTTGACCAGACCATATCATAAGTCTACCTGTACAAAATTTGACCAGACTATATCATAAGTCTACCTGTACAAAATTTGACCAGACCATATCATAACTTTACCTGTACAAAATTTGACCAGACCATATCATAACTTTACCTGTACAAAATTTGACCAGACCATACCATAAGTCTACCTGTACAAAATTTGACCAGACCATAACATAACTTTACCTGTACAAAATTTGACCAGACCATAACATAACTTTACCTGTACAAAATTTGACCAGACCATATCATAACTTTACCTGTACAAAATTTGACCAGACCATAACATAACTTTACCTGTACAAAATTTGACCAGACCATACCATAAGTCTACCTGTACAAAATTTGACCAGACCATAACATAACTTTACCTGTACAAAATTTGACCAGACCATAACATAACTTTACCTGTACAAAATTTGACCAGACCATATCATAACTTTACCTGTACAAAATTTGACCAGACCATATCATAACTTTACCTGTACAAAATTTGACCAGACCATAACATAACTTTACCTGTACAAAATTTGACCAGACCATATCATAACTTTACCTGTACAAAATTTGACCAGACCATATCATAACTTTACCTGTACAAAATTTGACCAGACCATATCATAACTTTACCTGTACAAAATTTGACCAGACCATAACATAACTTTACCTGTACAAAATTTGACCAGACCATATCATAACTTTACCTGTACAAAATTTGACCAGACCATATCATAACTTTACCTGTACAAAATTTGACCAGACCATAACATAACTTTACCTGTACAAAATTTGACCAGACCATATCATAACTTTACCTGTACAAAATTTGACCAGACCATATCATAACTTTACCTGTACAAAATTTGACCAGACCATATCATAACTTTACCTGTACAAAATTTGACCAGACCATATCATAACTTTACCTGTACAAAATTTGACCAGACCATATCATAACTTTACCTGTACAAAATTTGACCAGACCATATCATAACTTTACCTGTACAAAATTTGACCAGACCATATCATAACTTTACCTGTACAAAATTTGACCAGACCATATCATAAATTTACCTGTACAAAATTTGACCAGACCATATCATAACTTTACCTGTACAAAATTTGACCAGACCATATCATAACTTTACCTGTACAAAATTTGACCAGACCATAACATAACTTTACCTGTACAAAATTTGACCAGACCATATCATAACTTTACCTGTACAAAATTTGACCAGACCATATCATAACTTTACCTGTACAAAATTTGACCAGACCATATCATAACTTTACCTGTACAAAATTTGACCAGACCATATCATAACTTTACCTGTACAAAATTTGACCAGACCATATCATAACTTTACCTGTACAAAATTTGACCAGACCATATCATAACTTTACCTGTACAAAATTTGACCAGACCATATCATAACTTTACCTGTACAAAATTTGACCAGACCATAACTTTACCTGTACAAAATTTGACCAGACCATAACATAACTTTACCTGTACAAAATTTGACCAGACCATAACATAACTTTACCTGTACAAAATTTGACCAGACCATATCATAACTTTACCTGTACAAAATCCAGAGCAGTACTGTCCTGCAGACACATGTGTGGGGATTTGACCTTGTGGGAACTTGACTGAATGAGAAGTGGAGCAATCATTAAAGATTTAGTCAGAAGTGGTTCAGTCATGAGTGCATCAGTCAGAAGTGGTTCAGTCATGAGTGCATCAGTCAAAAGTTGCCCAGTCATGAATGCATCAGTCAAAAGTGGTTCAGTCATGAGTGCATCAGTCAAAAGTTGCCCAGTCATGAATGCATCAGTCAAAAGTGGTTCAGTCATGAGTGCATCAGTCAAAAGTTGCCCAGTCATGAGTGCATCAGTCAAAAGTTGCCCAGTCATGAGTGCATCAGTCAAAAGTGGTTCAGTCATGAATGCATCAGTCAAAAGTTGACCAGTCATGAATGCATCAGTCAAAAGTTGCCCAGTCACACAAAGGATTTACTTTACTCACCAGCTATGGGCTTGTGTGATGACAGAATAAGTTTGTTGTCCAAACCTAACCCCAGTTGACCTCTCCTCCCATGACCCCATGTGTAAACATGACCTGTGTCTGTGGAGAGAAAAATACACACTAGAAAAATCCAACCAATAAATCATTTTTGTACACATCTACCTAAACACACACTTGTACACATCTACCTAAACACACACTTGTACACATCAACCTAATCACACACTTGTACACATCTACCTAAACACACACTTGTACACATCTACCTAAACACATGCCTGCACACATCTACCTAAACACACACTTGTACACATCAACCTAATCACACACTTGTACACATCTACCTAAACACACACTTGTACACATCAACCTAATCACACACTTGTACACATCTACCTAAACACACACTTGTACACATCTACCTAAACACATGCCTGCACACATCTACCTAAACACACACTTGTACACATCAACCTAATCACACACTTGTACACATCTACCTAAACACACACTTGTACACATCAACCTAATCACACACTTGTACACATCTACCTAAACACACACTTGTACACATCTACCTAAACACATGCCTGCACACATCTACCTAAACACACACTTGTACACATCAACCTAATCACACACTTGTACACATCTACCTAAACACACACTTGTACACATCAACCTAATCACACACTTGTACACATCTACCTAAACACACACTTGTACACATCTACCTAAACACATGCCTGCACACATCTACCTAAACACACACTTGTACACATCAACCTAATCACACACTTGTACACATCTACCTAAACACACACTTGTACACATCTACCTAAACACACCCTTGTACACATCTACCTATACACACCCTTGTACACATCTACCTAAACACACCTTTGTACAGATCTACCTAAACACACACTTGTACACATCTACTTAAACACACACTTGTACACATCTACCTAAACACATGCTTGTACACATCTACCTAAACACACACTTGTACACATCTACCTAAACACACACTTGTACACATCTACCTAAACACACACTTGTACACATCTACCTTAACACAAACTTGTACACATCTACCTAAACACACGCTTATACACATTTACCTTTACACAATCTTGTACACACACTTGTACACATCTACCTTTACACAATCTTGTACACACACTTGTACACATCCTTTTCCTGACCTGTAAGAGACAGTGCATGCCTTAAGCCAGCAGCAATATCAACATGGCGCTCATCAGCTAAATCTTGGATTTTTTCCTGAAAGTTAAATAACCATTATCAATACAAACAAGGAGTTTTCTGCAGAAACTTATTTAAATTTCTTATGGCCGTGGCCCGGGAGGCTGAAGTTTGGCGCCCAGAGTTCTAGAGCGGCTAAGTTCAAACTTGGCATAGCGTATAAAAGGTACTACTATATTCAGCTGTAAAACTGCAACAGACGCAATTGCAGCCGTCCCGTCAATTGCACACCTGAAGCCCCCTGGCTCCCCTGTGAGCACACCTGAAGACCCCTGGCTCCCCTGTGAGCACACCTGAAGCCCCCTGGCTCCCCTGTGAGCACACCTGAAGCCCCCTGGCTCCCCTGTGAGCACACCTGAAGCCCCCTGGCTCCCCTGTGAGCACACCTGAAGACCCCTGGCTCCCCTGTGAGCACACCTGAAGCCCCCTGGCTCCCCTGTGAGCACACCTGAAGCCCCCTGGCTCCCCTGTGAGCACACCTGAAGCCCCCTGGCTCCCCTGTGAGCACAACTGAAGCCCCCTGGCTCCCCTGTGAGCACTGTCGCCTACATTGATTTAAATAAAAGGCTATACACTAAAGAATTGATAGGCAACAATAGTCGTTGACTTTATCAAATCAGGTGCGTCCTCAGGCAGGGGTGATTTGGGGCCCTGTGCTTTCACGTGAGCGATATAGTACATACGTTCATTTTAAAGAGTACAATAGAATATGGATAAAATGTAGTATAGGTGTTCACTAAGTTGAATCATGCGCATCTGCCCATGCCCCTTCTGAGACTGTGGCAATGCTTTGGGATGGGCATATATGGGGATATATCTCTGTGTATTTACATATATACACACATATATAAATCTATACATCTCTCTGTATATATATATACATACATATATATGTATATACATATACACACATATATAATTATACATATTGTGTCGCTAAGTCTGGTGTCACCCTTCACCTCCCACCCCCCCCCAAAGAAAACAAAATTATATATATATATATATATATGTGTGTTTGTGTATGTATATGTATGCCTAAATGCTAGACAACTTTCATTCTGGGTCCATGAGAAGGGGGCTGCAAAAAGCACTCCCACAGCTAATCCAAGCTTGAACCATCATATCCACCTGGTCAATTGTAGTACTCACTGGCATATCAGATCCTCCAGCAGGTCGACCTAGCTGGCCAAATGTGTTTGAACCCCAGGATAAAATGAGACCTTGATCTGTTAGAAAAATACAAGTTAAAATATGTCAAGCAAAAACAAAATGGGACCCACCTGATACAACTCACCAGCAAGAGTGACACACCCCCCTTACCAGTAAGTGTGACCCCCTCACCTGTAAGTGTGACCCCCTCACCTGTAAGTGTGACCCCCCTCACCTGTAAGTGTGACCCCCTCACCTGTAAGGGCCAGCATATAGTCCCAGCCAGCCTGTAAGTGTGACCCCCCTCACCTGTAAGTGTGACCCCCCTCACCTGTAAGGGCCAGCATATAGTCCCAGCCAGCCTGTAAGTGTGACCCCCTCACCTGTAAGGGCCAGCATATAGTCCCAGCCAGCCTGTAAGTGTGACCCCCCCTCACCTGTAAGGGCCAGCATATAGTCCCAGCCAGCCTGTAAGTGTGACCCCCCTCACCAGTAAGTGTGACCCCCCCTCACCTGTAAGTGTGACCCCCCTCACCAGTAAGTGTGACCCCCCCTCACCTGTAAGTGTGACCCCCCCCTCACCTGTAAGGGCCAGCATATAGTCCCAGCCAGCCTGTAAGTGTGACCCCCCTCACCAGTAAGTGTGACCCCCCCTCACCTGTAAGTGTGACCCCCCTCACCTGTAAGTGTGACCCCCCTCACCTGTAAGTGTGACCCCCCCTCACCTGTAAGTGTGACCCCCCTCACCTGTAAGTGTGACCCCCCTCACCTGTAAGGGCCAGCATATAGTCCCAGCCAGCCTGTAAGTGTGACCCCCCCTCACCTGTAAGGGCCAGCATATAGTCCCAGCCAGCCTGTAAGTGTGACCCCCCTCACCTGTAAGTGTGACCCCCCCTCACCTGTAAGGGCCAGCATATAGTCCCAGCCAGCCTGTAAGTGTGACCCCCCTCACCTGTAAGGGCCAGCATATAGTCCCAGCCAGCCTGTAAGTGTGACCCCCCCTCACCTGTAAGGGCCAGCATATAGTCCCAGCCAGCTGATACCTTGACTAGTCTGAAGTTGGACAGCTGTGAAGACAGAGAGAAGACACAACTCCTTGTCCTGCTAGCTTGAGCTGTCTGACCTTGAGCGTTGTTACCACAGGTCAGCAGGTCACCAGATGCTGTCATGTGATCAGAAGGTGGCACACAGGTCATATAGGGTGTCATGGTGGCACACAGGTCATATAGGGTGTCATGTGATCAGAAGGTGGCACACAGGTCATATAGGGTGTTATGGTGGCACACAGGTCATATAGGGTGTCAAGGTGGCACACAGGTCATAGAGGGTGTCATGTGATCAGAAGGTGGCACACAGGTCATATAGGGTGTCATGGTGGCACACAGGTCATATAGGGTGTCATGTGATCAGAAGGTGGCACACAGGTCATATAGGGTGTCATGGTGGCACACAGGTCATATAGGGTGTCATGGTGGCACACAGGTCATATAGGGTGTCATGGTGGCACACAGGTAATATAGGGTGTCATGGTGGCACACAGGTCATATAGGGTGTCATGGTGGCACACAGGTAATATAGGGTGTCATGGTGGCACACAGGTCATATAGGGTGTCATGTGATCAGAAGGTGGCACACAGGTCATATAGGGTGTTATGGTGGCACACAGGTCATATAGGGTGTCATGGTGGCACACAGGTCATATAGGGTGTCATGGTGGCACACAGGTCATATAGGGTGTCATGTGATCAGAAGGTGGCACACAGGTCATATAGGGTGTCATGTGATCAGAAGGTGACACATAGGTCATGGAGGGTCATGTTGGCAGACGTAAAATGCTTGTACCTGTCAAGAGATAGGAAAAAGCCCCGCCTCCTCCCAGACCTGTGATGTCAGCTGCTGTAGCACTTGAGCTGTCTGAAGGTGAGGTCTTTACTGGAACCATCTCATCTCTTGGTGAGGTCTTCACCTGAACCATCTCATCTCTTGGTGAGGTCTTCACCTGAACCACCTCATCTCTTGGTGAGGTCTTCACCTGAACCATCTCATCCCCTGGTGAGGTCTTCATCTGAACCATCTCATCTCTTGGTGAGGTCTTCACCTGAACCATCTCATCTCTTGGTGAGGTCTTCACCTGAACCATCTCATCTCTTGGTGAGGTCTTAACCTGAACCATCTCATCTCTTGGTGAGGTCTTAACCGGAACCATCTCATCTCCCAGCGTTCCCAGTCCCAGCTGGCCACAGCTGTTAGAGCCCTGTCGAAATCAGATGGTGTCAAATATGCCTGTATATAGGCCTTTATGTAAGTATATAGGCCTTTATGTAAGTATATAGGCCTTTATGTAAGTATACATATTATTTAATATGCCTGTATATAGGCCTTTATGTAAGTATACATATTATTTAATATGCCTGTATATAGGCCTTTATGTAAGTATACATAGTATTTAATATGCCTGTATATAGGCCTTTATGTAAGTATACATAGTATTTAATATGCCTGTATATAGGCCTTTATGTAAGTATACATAGTATTTAATATGCCTGTATATAAGTATACAGTATTTAATTTGCCTGTATATAGGCCTTTATGTAAGTATACATAGTATTTAATATGCCTGTATATAGGCCTTTATGTAAGTATACATATTATTTATTAGCTATATACAGTGTTTCTTCCAGGCATGTCTGGGGGGGGGGGCTTGTCTCCCAGAACAAAATGGAAATTTATAGGCCCCTATAGAAAATATATACTTTTACAAGTGTCACCCCTCCCCCTCTCCCTGGAGAAAAAAGTCTTGAAGAAACACTGCTTATATAGGGCCTATAGAAAGAGATGCCAGATTCTTAATAAAATGATAGATCTAGTTGTACACAAATGATAGATCTAGTTGTACCTCTAGTTGTACACAAATGATAGATCTAGTTGTACACAGGGCAGAAGTCGGGGATTTGGACCGCACCGGGTAACACCATTTAAGGGGGTGACACCAAGACAAAAAAAATGATATATTAAATAAATGTTTTTGACAGTACGTAGGCTACAATGAATGGTTAAAAAGTATATTAAGTATAATTAAGTACATAATGACGATCACAACAAGGTGGGGGGGGGGGGGGGGGGGGGGGGGGGGTTGAGACGACAATTCCACTACACACATTCATTGAAACGGCAGCTAACAATAAAATGAGCAAGTCCTGAGCAATCATTCATTATTTATAAAGGCTGAGCCTAGATTTAAATCCAAAGGTGGTCTAGATCTTTTTATTTCTCCTATAATTTAAATATTTAATCCTACATAATCAATTTCTTTAGAAATGGCGAACTATTTGCCAAGATGAAGTTATTTAACACTTCCACAACACCATCTATTAAAGTTTAATTGAATGAATCATTTAAGCCTGTAATAAGCCTGCACTTTTAAAAACTCCGCCTGCAAAACCGTATTTCAAAGCTAAATAAAAGATAGCCTAGATCTAGATCTAGATGTTGATATTTACCGAAAGTTTATTTTTAAAAAACCATTGATGTGTGCTAGATAGTTAAAAAAGAATGAATGTTACTGTGTTGAGTTATGGATTTACTAATTTGTTCTTCATGTAGAAAAATCTAGTAGGGCTACGTTTATTAAAACAATAAATTAAAAAATAACCCTTTAAAACACTGCGCCTACCCACGACCACAGTGTTTTCCTGTCGAGCGCTCGCATTTGTAATCCTAGACTCAAGACTAGGATGCGTCTCGTCAGCCTTGCTTTCATACGTCACGTGTAGTTTATTGACAACTCCTTGGCGTATTCTGCTGGCCCACTGTGTAGGCTGTTCTATCAATTGTAAAAGCCGGTAGTAAGTAAAAGAATGTATATTACATTACGGAGTACATGCGATAATAGTTTTGAAACAGTTAAATATTTGAAAACTACTTTTCTCATTTGCCCCTGTTTGCAAATTGTGCATAATGATAGCTATCATAACATTTCGACTATTCATTGTCAGTTTTTTTACTAGGTCAGAACAGAGCCAATAGTGGGCTTGCACACTATTTCCCTCTTTGAACAAGCATTCCGTGATTCGCCGCCGTGTACCGAAAGCCAACCACAGCCAATCACTTCTAAAGTATCTGAGACACCCCAAAGTAAGTCAATAACTAATTGCTATTATCGAGTAATGTGCCTCAACTGACACATGGGCAGTATATGAGCATGTTTTTAATAAATATTTCACATACATTTGGGTATTGCTTTGTAACTTGAGTTATTGCTCGCACTACCCTATTTACGGTTTAGCCACCATATTTTTGGCGTTGTTTCTTTGTTCGCTGGTTGGTGGAAGTTTGCGCAGTAATTTATGCAGATTACAAGCAGCAATGGCCGTACATTTGTCGGACCTTTACCCGCTTCGTAAAGCACCTCCCTGCTTTTCCCAGGCATTTTGATTGTTCTAGGCAACCAGTAAGATTTTAATAGTCACTAATTTAGCCCCACGTGTATATGATGATGTATATATAGTCTATATGTTAACATAGATTATTAAATAGTGTTGTAGCCTTCATACTGAATTACTAAAATAAGAGCCTCCTTTATAACTCGAGTCTTCGATTCCACCTCAAACACCGACGCAGCCACAAACTTTAAAAAAAAATCCACATTCATAGCGTACCTCACTGCTAGTCTACGACAGCGTAGTGAAGGTCCAAAATCACGTTTCTTGACCAGACTATAATTACTATAAATATAGATCTAGATTCTAGAAAATCAATAAAGAATTAAATAGGCCTAAGCAGTGTGATGTTGTTTTATTTAGATCTACAAGTAGAATCTAGATCTAGAATCTACTTACTTAGGCCCTATAAGAAAATTATTAATTTATTGGGCCTACTAGATCTAGCTGTAGCTAGTCTAGATTTTAGGCCTAAACATCAGCGTGTGTACACTCAATATTGTAACCGTAGGCAATTCATATTTCTTATTACCTAGGCCTAATTATTAATATTTGATTTTGTAATCCTAGAATCTAGATTAAGATTGATAGATCTAGACAACACCCCACTAAATACTGGTGTAATATAGATCTATTATCTATTAATACCCTAATCAATCCTAAACTTAGGCGTAACAGTTCTATACAAATACTAGTCTAACTAACCACTGTATCCATATAGCAATGTAGGCTTATGTAATTTCTCAATTGTAGGCCTACTGTAATTACTAATTACAGTAATTAGTTAACACAAGCTGACCCGCGGCGTATCATATGCAGCTGTTTTTAGTTTTTTATTTTCTACTTTTCAGTAATTCATAATTTGTGAATTCGACAGTATCAATGCTGCCACTGAAAATATTTGCTTTAAAACACTATCAGTAGCTGGTTAAGGACCCCACCCTCCTTTCAACCAACCCTATTTTTTTTCACCAGATGAACTGTTGACAAATGTATCCCACTTGTAAGTCTCGACACCTTACTTAATCTTTTTGTTGACAAATGTATCCCACTTGTAAGTCTCGACACCTTACTTAATCTTTTTGTTGACAAAGGTATCCCACTTGTAAGTCTCGACACCTTACTTAATCTTTTTGATGTATCCCACTTGTAGGTCTCAACGGCTTACTTCAATCTTTTTGATGTATCCCACTTGTAGGTCTCAACGGCTTACTTCAATCTTATTGGATGTGCCAATGCTGCATCTATGGAGCTGCAAACATCAGTTATGAACTTTGACCCATCTAATCAAGCTATGGGTCAGTATGTTCAAGCCCAGAATGCAATGCAAAATTTTCAAATTCCCCTTCAGCAGCTGCAAGGTCAAGGTCAGATCCAGCTGCAGGGTCAAGTAAGTTCATTTTTCTACCTCATACATGACCTCTTGGTTTATTTATTTGTTGAAGTTTAGTTGTGTAGAAAATGTTTTTTTTAATCCTCAGCTACCACTACTACAACTTGGTCAGAACGGACAATTTCTTCTCAACCAGCAGCAACTTCTGCAGCAGTTGAGCCAAGGTCAGGCCATTCAACTTCCAGGGCAACAAGGACAATCTATTCAGTTGCCTCAAAACTTGCAACATTTACAATTACATAACCAGCAAGGTCAGCCAATTCAAATTCAAAGTCAAAATGGTCAGACAATACAATTGCAAGGACAAAATGGTCAGACAATACAATTGCAAGGACAAAATGGTCAGACAATACAATTGCAAGGACAAAATGGTCAGACAATACAATTGCAAGGACAAAATGGTCAGACAATACAATTGCAAGGACAAAATGGCCAGACAATACAATTGCAAGGACAAAATGGTCAGACAATACAATTGCAAGGACAAAATGGTCAGACAATACAATTGCAAGGACAAAATGGTCAACAAATCCAGTTGCAAACCCAGGGTGGACAAGCTATTCAGTTACATCATCAAAATGGCCAGCCAATCCACATTCAAGGGCAGCACTCACAGCATTTGCAGGGTCAAGGTCAAAGTGGTCAACAAATTCAACTTCAGGGGCAAAATGGTCAACCTATTCAAATTCAAACGCAAAATGGTCAAACCATACAGCTTCCTGGGTCCAGCAGCCAAATAATGCAACTGCCCAATGGCCAACAGATCCAGATTCAGGGTCATCAAGGCCTTCATGTACAGAACCAAGCGCAGTCTTTTCAGTTGCCCAACCAGTTGAGTCAGATGCTCCAGCTCCAGGGCCAGCAGCTCCAGGGCTTCCAGCTTCCTGGCCAACACCAGCAGCTGCAGATGATGTCACTGCAGGGACAGCCCTGTCAGGTGCTCCATGTGCAGGGTCCAAATGGTCAGATTGTGCAGCAAGTGGTGAGTTTTTGCAGGGTCCAAATGGTCAGATTGTGCAGCAGGTGGTGAGTTTTTGCAGGGTCCAAATGGTCAGATTGTGCAGCAAGTGGTGAGTTTTTTCAGGGTCCAAATGGTCAGATTGTGCAGCAGGTGGTGAGTTTTTGCAGGGTCCAAATGGTCAGATTGTGCAGCAAGTGGTGAGTTTTTGCAGGGTCCAAATGGTCAGATTGTGCAGCAGGTGGTGAGTTTTTGCAGGGTCCAAATGGTCAGATTGTGCAGCAAGTGGTGAGTTTTTTCAGGGTCCAAATGGTCAGATTGTGCAGCAGGTGGTGAGTTTTTTCAGGGTCCAAATGGTCAGATTGTGCAGCAGGTGGTGAGTTTTTGCAGGGTCCAAATGGTCAGATTGTGCAGCAGGTGGTGAGTTTTTGCAGGGTCCAAATGGTCAGATTGTGCAGCAGGTGGTGAGTTTTTGCAGGGTCCAAATGGTCAGATTGTGCAGCAGGTGGTGAGTTTTTGCAGGGTCCAGTTTGTTAGCACAGACATATTTAAGCGTACATTGTGATGTACCAACATATTTAAACGCACATTGTGATGTAACAACATATTTAAACGTAGATTGTTATGTACCAGCATATTTAAACATACATTGTGATGTACAAAAAGCCTTAGATTGAATGCTGTGCGTTGTTACTATTCCAATAATTGTTTTCCAGGTACCTTTGATGCTAGGATCTGACCAGCTTGGTGGACTTTTAAATCCCCTGCAGCAGGTAATTCAACTTCCATTACTTGATAGCCAGGTTTTAGTTTTTCCTTTGTTTAAATCTCCCTAAAATCTGTACATTCAGCAACACAGTAACACATTCTACAAATGTTTAATTTACACACAAAATGGTAGCTTTAAGTTTTGACTATAACTCATTTAAATGGTAGCTCTTTTTATCATTTGTAAAGTCCTTGAATATTGCTGTGATTTTTGTCTCAGATGTTTGTCCAAGCACAGAACCCTTTAGTTGGTCAGTTTGTTGAATATTGCTGTGATTTTTGTCTCAGATGTTTGTCCAAGCACAGAACCCTTTAGTTGGTCAGTTTGTTGAATATTGCTGTGATTTTGTCTCAGATGTTTGTCCAAGCACAGAACCCTTTAGTTGGTCAGTTTGTTGAATATTGCTGTGATTTTGTCTCAGATGTTTGTCCAAGCACAGAACCCTTTAGTTGGTCAGTTTGTTGAATATTGCTGTGATTTTTGTCTCAGATGTTTGTCCAAGCACAGAACCCTTTAGTTGGTCAGTTTGTTGAATATTGCTGTGATTTTGTCTCAGATGTTTGTCCAAGCACAGAACCCTTTAGTTGGTCAGTTTGTTGAATATTGCTGTGATTTTTGTCTCAGATGTTTGTCCAAGCACAGAACCCTTTAGTTGGTCAGTTTGTTGAATATTGCTGTGATTTTGTCTCAGATGTTTGTCCAAGCACAGAACCCTTTAGTTGGTCAGTTTGTTGAATATTGCTGTGATTTTGTCTCAGATGTTTGTCCAAGCACAGAACCCTTTAGTTGGTCAGTTTGTTGAATATTGCTGTGATTTTGTCTCAGATGTTTGTCCAAGCACAGAACCCTTTAGTTGGTCAGTTTGTTGAATATTGCTGTGATTTTTGTCTCAGATGTTTGTCCAAGCACAGAACCCTTTAGTTGGTCAGTTTGTTGAATATTGCTGTGATTTTTGTCTCAGATGTTTGTCCAAGCACAGAACCCTTTAGTTGGTCAGTTTGTTGAATATTGCTGTGATTTTGGTCTCAGATGTTTGTCCAAGCACAGAACCCTTTAGTTGGCCAGTTTGTCCAGACAGAGAGTGGCCTGGTTTGGCAGCCCACAGGCATGTATGCTGGCATGGAGAATAACATGACAACCTCTCTACAGTTTGCACAGCCTGCTGGTAAGATGGGACAACTTTTTGTCTTGACTCATTCAAGTATCAAATGTGCTCTACTTGTAGGCCAGTGTGTAACGATTGTGCTATTGGCCAGTGTGTAACAGTGTGCTATTGGCCAGTGTGTAACAAGTGTGCTATTGGCCAGTGTGTAACAAGTGTGCTATTGGCCAGTGTGTAACAAGTGTGCTATTGGCCAGTGTGTAACAAGTGTGCTATTGGCCAGTGTGTAACAAGTGTGCTCTATTTGTAGTTGTGGGCCAGCCAGGTGAGAGCAGCAACCCAGCAGAACTAAATGGAGCCATAGAGAGCCACATAGAGAGCCAGACAGAGGCCAGTGAACCCCTGCAGTCAGCTGGGGTCAATGGGGATCCTTTGGTAACTTGAGCTTCCTTTATCAACATGATGAGTTTTATTTCACACTTGTGGACATCCACACGTTGAATTTTTTTCACCAGACTTTTATCTTCTGCCTACAATCCCAGCACAACAAAAAATACACATTCATATGACAGCTCATGTTTAAAACAAATACCTCACTGGGGTATTCATCACAGGCTCTGTAGTTATATGTTAAAAAAACAAGTGCAATGTAAGAACTAAAGTGATAAAATTAGTCTCAAGTCTATAATGTAAGAACTAGAGTGATAAAATTAGTCCCAAGTCTATAATGTAAGAACTAGAGTGATAAAATTAGTCTCAAGTCTATAATGTAAGAACTAGAGTGATAAAATTAGTCTCAAGTCTATAATGTAAGAACTAGAGTGATAAAATTAGTCCCAAGTCTATAATGTAAGAACTAGAGTGATAAAATTAGTCTCAAGTCTATAATGTAAGAACTAAAGTGATAAAATTAGTCTCAAGTCTATAATGTAAGAACTAGAGTGATAAAATTAGTCTCAAGTCTATAATGTAAGAACTAAAGTGATAAAATTAGTCTCAAGTCTATAATGTAAGAACTAGAGTGATAAAATTAGTCTCAAGTCTATAATGTAAGAACTAGAGTGATAACAATTAGTCTCAAGTCTATAATGTAAGAACTAGAGTGATGCCACTGTCCACAGTGTTCTGTCCCTGGGGTCACCAGCAGCAGCACCCCCCAGCCAGTGGGGAGGATCCAGATAGCAGCTGAGGACCCAGAAGATGAAACAACCCAGCCCCTGTATGTCAATGCCAAGCAGTACAACAGAATATTAAAGAGGCGAGCTGCCAGGGCTAAACTAGAGAGCACTGGAAAAGTTGTTCGGAAACGTAAGGTCAGTGATGAGAATCACTGTTCTAAACCTTTTCACGGTTTGTACAGCTGTTGTTGGCCCACCAAGTATGGAGCATTTAGATTTTGTTGCCTTTCTAATCTCTGAGTTTTTCATTGGATTCATTTGTAATTTGGTGGTCTCGTCTTTTAACTTTAAGTCCATCTTTGTTCACTTCCCATTTTCAGAAGTATCTTCACGAGTCACGTCACAAACACGCATGTCAACGAATACGAGGCACAGGAGGTAGATTTTTCTCAATCAAAGTGGAAAATGAAGCAGAGTTTGGTTTAAAAGATGTAAGTGTTGGCTAGGTGATTTAACATTAAATAGACCAGCAGGGTCAAACTAAAGCCACCTAATTGTCTGACATCTGGTTAGAGGGTTAACCCTTTATGGTTGGGGGCATCAAAAATATTTTACTTCACCTGTGGCCAAGCAAAAAAAAAAAAGGCATTATTTAAAAAAATAAATACTTTTTAAAAAAAAAGCATTAAACACAAAAATGTTAGCATGCTATGTTGCTAACCTGAAAGTTATAAGTTCAAATCCGGGTTTAATTCAATAGAGCTCCCCTTACTCCTCCCAGCTCAGATAAGTATCTAACTCGCATTTATGAAAGTAAAGGTGGCTGGGTATACTGCTAACCACACTATCCCTTTATATGTTGAGGTTATAGAAACAGGTAAACTTGACTTGCCCATGGACCGTGAGGTTTGAAAAGATATCTTTACTACTACATAAAATTGGTCTAATTTAATTAATTTAATAGCACAATATTTTACTAATAATACATAAAAGTAACCTTAATCCCAGAAAAATGTAAACAAAATGCTACTTTTATCGTTTTTATAAAATAATTTAAATGCTACTTTTATCGTAGTCACTGTAGCTATTTTATTTTCAATATCACTGTATTAGTTACATTATAAATATTCTGATTTGAAATTAAATAGACCAGTGGCATTTTAATTAGATTTAATCTCACTAATTATATTGCCAGTAATTTTTAAAAAATGTAACTTTAGAAAATCTTTACCTACGAGATTTTGTTCACTGCGATTAAATAAACGTTCTATAAATAGTTGAGGCGACCGCAGGTGCACCGGCTTGTAAAGGATAAAGTAGACATCAGCTAACTGGGCAATCAGCTGTGCGTTTGCTTATATATAGTACTTTTGTCTACATGTACTCATGAAATTCTATTGGTGATTGCAAGTTGTTTATAGAATCACTAGTTTTTGGACTGATTTAACCTATTGGTGATTGCAAGTTGTTTATAGAATCACTAGTTTTTGGACTGATTTAACCTATTGGTGATTGCAAGTTGTTTATAGAATCACTTAGTTTTTGGACTGATTTAACCTATTGGTGATTGCAAGTTGTTTATAGAATCACTTAGTTTTTGGACTGATTTAACCTATTGGTGATTGCAAGTTGTTTATAGAATCACTTAGTTTTTGGACTGATTTAACCTATTGGTGATTGCAAGTTGTTTATAGAATCACTTAGTTTTTGGACTGATTTAACCTATTGGTGATTGCAAGTTGTTTATAGAATCACTAGTTTTTGGACTGATTTAACCTTAAAACTCATACATAAAGTCACATTTCTCCTTTCCCAGATTGTAATGAAAGGGGCACTACTATATAAAATATAATCTAATTATAGAGTGGGTATTACAATAAATAAAAATCTCATAAACAACAAAAAAACATTTTTAAAAGCAAAAGTAACGGCAGATGTGCTCTATCATACAGCAGGGCAGTAATACTAGCAATTCCCATCTTTAGAAATATGTCTGCATACCACCCTAATATTTACTAAATTGATTAGTAGAGTATCACTACTATTATTTATTTATAATCAAAATTATATGTGGTCCCATTATAACTTTGTCCAAAGGCATCCGCACTCAAACAATAACCATGCAGCTACACCAAAACTATGAAATTTTGGCATGTTATTAAAAAAAAATCTGTCTAATCCATGCCCGATTTCGAATGCTAAATATACTGAAAGGAAGTTTGATTTCCGTTCCTTTTAACTGGATTCTTTTCTTTGTAATAAATAGCTAAAAAAAACTAGAATTAGCACCCAATGCCACACTTTAAAAAAGCTGTTTAGGCAACATCAGGCATTTAGCAGTGGAGGCATCATCGGGGGGCTTAAAGGTTAAAATAATATGGAATTTGATTTTATTACTAAACATTTTACACAAGCTAACCAAAATAAAAGGCTTTTGTTTAGTGGGTTGCCCACTGAGTTACACTAACATACAGCTGTATCCATTATGAAAGTGTCATTTAATCAGTTTGAACATGCGATTAGAAGAAAATATTACAAATCATGTTTTTTGCACTAGTTTCTTGACTCAAGATCATTATTTGTTATTCTTTTAGTTTGAATTAATTCCTTTATATTTTCTGAAATAAAGCAATGTTTTGAAGTGTAATTGGGTAAATTAATTTCTTTTTTTTTTCTGAAATGAGAAAGTTTGAAAGGTAATTAGCTTGAAAGGGATGAATAGAAAACAAGGTAAGAACCAGAGAAGGCAACAAATGAAGGCAAATGACACATTAGTAGAAAGATACAAACCTGTGTTGAAGCTGCTGACATGTTGTGACACATTTTGTCTGATATCATTAGTTCAATGAGAGTCAATTCCTCTACTAATGTTTGGCCAGTATTCTTTAAATGTAGTGAAAAAGTTTTCAATTTGCCACATTTTAAGCATTTGTTTTTTTTTCCACCAATAACTTTGTTTGAGTAGATTTGAAGTGTACCATAATAACTTTGACCAACATTGTCTTTTTAGGAAGCTGTTTGAATAGATTTTAAGTGTACCATAATAACTTTGACCAACATTGTCTTTTCAGGAAGCTGACAGTGAGCATTCACCTCAAAATTTAGACAAGTCAAGGCATGAAGAAAACAGCAATGGACACATATCATAGTGGCAGCCATATGAAGAAAGCAGTAATGGACACATATCATAGTGGCAGCCATATGAAGAAAGCAGTAATGGACACATATAGTGGCAGCCATATGAAGAAAACAGCAATGACACATATCATAGGGGCAGCCATATGAAGAAAACAGCAATGACACATCATAGTGGCAGCCATATGAAGAAAGCAGTAATGGACACATATCATAGTGGCAGCCATATGAAGAAAACAGCAATTGACACATATCATAGTGGCAGCCATATGAAGAAAACAGTAATGGACACATCATAGTGGCAGCCATATGAATCAATGACAAACTAGGATTTTTAACTAGCTGTCTATTGACTGCCTTCTAGAATTGAATGGTGGTACCCTGATCTCATGGGCTATGGATAATTGTTGTGTCAGCTCCATGCTGAACAAAGGGAAGCCAATAAGTGCACCTTGCTACTAGCCATAATAGCTGTATGGATGAGGCCATAATAGCTGTATGGATGAGGCCATAATAGCTGTAAGATTGAGGCCATAATAGCTGTAAGATTGAGGCCATAATAGCTGTAAGATTGAGGCCATAATAGCTGTAAGATTGAGGCCATAATAGCTGTAAGATAAAGGCCATAATCTTTCCACGTCTTAAGTGAGACATTAAGAGAATAGCCTAACATGCTCTAGGATTAATCAGTCATATGTCCCAACAAAAGTCGTCAGTCATATACCCCGACAGACGTCATCAGTCATATGTCCCGACAGAAGTCATCAGTCATATGCCCTGACAGAAGTCATCAGTCATATGCCCCGACAGAAGTCATCAGTCATATGCCCTGACAAAAGTCGTCAGTCATATGCCCTGACAGAAGTCATCAGTCATATGCCCTGACAGAAGTCACAAGTCATATGGCCTTACAGAAGTCATCAGTCATATGCCCTGACAAGTCATCAGTCATATGCCCTGACATAAGTCATCAGTCATATGCCCCGACAGAAGTCATCAGTCATATGCCCTGACAGAAGTCATCAGTCATATGCCATGACAGAAGTCATCAGTCATATGCCCTGACAGAAGTCACAAGTCATATGGCCTTACAGAAGTCATCAGTTATATGCCCTGACAGAAGTCATCAGTCATATGGCCTGACAGAAGTCATCAGTTATATGCCCTGACCATGGAGTGTCTGTCTGTCTGGTGGTACACCATGGAGTGTCTGTCTGGTGGTACACCATGGAGTGTCTGTCTGGTGGTACACCATGGAGTGTCTGTCTGGTGGTACACCATGGAGTGTCTGTCTGGTGGTACACCATGGAGTGTCTGTCTGGTGGTACACCATGGAGTGTCTGTCTGGTGGTACACCATGGAGTGTCTGTCTGTCTGGTGGTACACCATGGAGTGTCTGTCTGGTGGTACACCATGGAGTGTCTGTCTGTCTGGTGGTACACCATGGAGTGTCTGTCTGGTGGTACACCATGGAGTGTCTGTCTGTCTGGTGGTACACCATGGAGTGTCTGTCTGGTGGTACACCATGGAGTGTCTGTCTGGTGGTACACCATGAAGTGTCTGTCTGGTGGTACACCATGGAGTGTCTGTCTGGTGGTACACCATGGAGTGTCTGTCTGTCTGGTGGTACACCATGGAGTGTCTGTCTGTCTGGTGGTACACCATGGAGTGTCTGTCTGTCTGGTGGTACACCATGGAGTGTCTGTCTGTCTGGTGGTACACCATGGAGTGTCTGTCTGTCTGGTGGTACACTATGGAGTGTCTGTCTGTCTGGTGGTACACCATGGAGTGTCTGTCTATCTGGTGGTACACCATGGAGTGTCTGTCTGTCTGGTGGTACACCATGGAGTGTCTGTCTGGTGGTACATCATGGTGTTGCATGTTAATTATACATTTGAATCAATGGTCATTAATGAAATGATATTTGTTGTTGTATATACTAAACTATGTGCAATATTTTGTACCATAAATGCTAGAGTTATATTTAAATTGAATCAAAGATACTCGTTTGAGTGAAAAATTCATTGACCCAAATTGACTTATTTACAAGTTATTTATAGACTTATTGTCATGTTTGAGTATTTAATTTGTCTAGGTTCATTTGTTAGTTGTAGGTGGGCGTGCTTGTTAATTGTAGGGTGGCTTACTTGCTAGTGTTGGGAGTCATTCCGCAAATCCAAGAATTGACCAGGAATGTTGGCCACATCAAGGGAAGTAGAGAAATGGTTACTCGCCAAGAATTTTCTTCCTCTTTCAGCAGAGGGAAGGAACGCTGCAGTCCGTTTTCAAGAGGTTCAAGATGCCCAGAATCCTCGTTTAAATTTTTATTTATCTCACAATCAGATTCATCTACCACACTGCAGTTTTTTAAAAATGGCTTCCAAGATTTGAGTCAAATGTGATATAAAGATTTGAATTAAATGCTTCGAGATTATCATGGAAAGAAATAATATTCGATTCTTTTCCCTGAAGCTTCAGGTTAAGCCCACCTTGTTGTTCATCTGCTAGGTATGCTACTCTCTCAAAGCACTCTTTGTAAAATCATACCAAAACATCTTGTTTTTTTTGCACTTCCAAGAACAATTTGATTTCATCTTGAAATAAAAAAACTTCATATTTCCCTTTGACTACCAGCGCACTGCAAACTGCAATGCAGAAAATGGGAACCTTGTGATCAGAATTAATGTCTTTGAACAGTTCTTTAAACAGACGGATGTTTTGGGCTCCGGATTTAATATAATTTGCATTTATTATCAAATTAAATTAGCTCCTCCAAAGGAGTCGTCTGAATATAGTCTTGCTGGCAAGGGAATACTGGTGAATGATGCTTGCACTAATGCTGTTTCCATGGTAAAAATTTTCTGTTCAATCAAGTCTGACATTTGCAACTAGTTTCATGCGGATGGAAGAACTCCATATATTTTTGGTGTGTTCCGAATGACTAGTCTCAAAATGACGTTTTAGTTTTGAAGGTTTCATTTACTCTTGATACCATTTTGTACAGTAAGCATTGTGGCTTCTCTATTCCATTGCAAGTAAGTAAAGCCGAATTTAAGGTGTTCTAAATATTTTACATTTTCTTTTCCATTGCTGAGGAAGTATAAAGCGAATTTTCTGAATAATTTTACACATCAAAATTTCTACCAAATAATCTTTTTTAAAAGCATCACCCCCCCAGCCCCTATTATAACCAGGCGCGCCCCCCCCCCCCACCTCCAAACTCGCCCCCTCCGGTACTCATTTTTTTAAATTAAAGGGATATAACCATGCGTGTTTCATTTTATGGAAACATTGAGTTGCTTCCCTTTTCTTTGTGCATACTCTGTAATAGGTTTTGACGAAAATCTCTCTATGTATGTATTTATCAGTGGCGATGCCAGGATCGTCTCATGGAGGGGGGGGGGGGGTACAGTTTTTTCCAGCATTTTATATATATATATATATATAATATATATATTATATATATATATTATATATATATTATATATATTAGCCTATAATATATAGGGCCTATATATATATATTATAATATATATATACTAGCGGTATGTCATTGCTTCGCTATGGTGTAACATAAGTTGAAAGTACTACTCTGTAGAAATAAGAAAAAACAATGTAGGCCGACAAAACAAATTATCACTCTCTCTCTCTCTCTCTCTCTATATATATATATATATATTTATATATATATATATATATATATATATATATATATATTAAGACAAGCGAACTAGGGGAAATAATCACTCTCTTAATAGAACTATATATATTTCTACAAATTTAATTGTAAATATAAAAACAGATCAATAACTACTATAGTATATAATTTAGTAGCTTAACACTGTTTGTTTTTATAAAAAAATATGTTGTCTACAATCAGAATTAAACATATTGTCATCATAAATGCTAAAATATTACAGCACAACGAAATTTTAAAAAATCAGAGTTGGTATAAAATCAAACTTTTCTAATAGTAAAATTAAATCTAATAGCTGGAACATGCTGAATAATAGCTTACACATTACTAAATTATTGGTCTTGCAGTTCCGAGAAACCATTTTTTTTGTCCTTTATTTAAAGATCAATTTTTAACAAAACGATATGGTATTGATCACATAACTCTTTTTGCAAAAGCAATATTCTCAGAGTTTTACCTGCTTCAAAAGCTATGATTCTGGCGGCATGGCACTATGGTACCTCATTTCGTTTTATCGGGGTGAAGTTTCATTTTGTTAAATTTTGTCCAAGTAGCAAGCTGATTGGCACATGTTTGAAGTTTGTAACTGGGTGACTCAGCACTGTCTACAAAGAAACTTTGGAAGTTGTTGAGAATACTCCCGGGGAGGTTTCTGCGAGAGAAAAAAAATCAAATTCGAAAGGGTGGCTCTCCGGCGATTTGATTCTTCTTTTTATGCGGTATATAAAGATAAAAGTCGATTGCGACCACCGTTCATCCAATCGCCATGAGACTTTGCGGTGTTGATAAGAACACTACAGAGTAGGTTTCTGAAAAAAAAATCTTTTTTAATTTCGCCGGTGCTCCGAGAGGTGCGAGTTTTCTTTATATACGTTATAAAAAATATAAGTTGTATGAAGTTCGACACCGTTGTTTCGAGTGCCATGAAACTTTATGGAGTCGAAGAGAATACTCCCGAGAAGGTTTCTGCACAAAAAGAATTACAAATTTTTATGGGCGGCGCCCGAGAGGGTGCGATGTCAATACACGGTTCGGCGCCCAGAATGCCAGCGCAGCTATCTTAGCACTTGCCATCCGTTAATCGAGCGTCCTGCAAGGCGGGTAAGGGATACTACTATATTCAGCGGTAAAACTGCAACAAGCAGTCACCTGAACGTGCGAAACCTGCACACCCTAGCCCTCAAAAAGGAAAAACTTTAGATATCGCCCGTTGAGAAACGTTGTTAAGATAAGGCAACTTCCGTCCTAAATGATTTTATGGATAACACGCTCTAAATATAGATTTCACCGGAAACATTTTTGTCCATACCAATAAATCTAGGTACAGTGTACATATGAAACGTGTACATATTGTATAGCATGTGTACATATTGTATAGCATGTGTACATATTTTATATCATGTGTACATATTTTATATCGTGTACATATTGTATAGCATGTGTACATATTGTATATCATGTGTACATATTGTATATCATGTGTACATATTGTATATCATGTGTACATATTGTATAGCATGTGTACATATTACATAACACTTGAGGGCCAAGTTTGCCTTAAAACATTTTGTTTGTTTGTTTGTTTGTTTGTTTGTTTGTTATTGATTGCTCGAGGTTGGATAAATAAGCTGACTGGCTGATGTCAACTTTCTTTCTGTTGGCTAAATAGACGCCGACTTTCATTGTTTTCTAAAATCCTAATCAGTTTTTACTATACTGAGGCTTCGTAGTTTTAATCAGGTGTGCTGGTTTACGGTATTATTTAACGCAATTTGGGGCTAGGGTTGAAAGCTCGCCTCAACCATTGACGAGCATGGCAGCCGTACAGCGGGCTGCCAGTGTCGTCTGCTTTATGTAGGGCCACAACAGGATTTTCTCGTCCGGGTCGAGATTATCAGAAGCCCGTCACTCCGCCCCAGGGGTGGGGCTTATTTGCCTTGTGTTTGGTAGTTAAGTTGAGTTAGTAGACTTGTACGCCGGCTCTGAAGAGTTCAACTTTATAGTTAGGTAAGTGCGACTTGAATAATATAGGCCCATGTCACTTGATCAATTACCAACATTTATTAAGTCAATTGTCAACGTCAATATAATTAGTTTATTAAAATGTATATGGGCAGATTACCCTAATCTAAATAAATGCATAATTATAAATGGATTGTTAACAGGGGCGGATTAAGGCTGAGTGGAGCACCCGGCTGATGTATATATATATATATATATATATATATATATATATATATATATATATGTGAAATTAAACAAAAACTATAAGTAAACAAATGCTAATAAAAATACGATAGTATTCCAAGATAGGACTATTAGGACCAAAAAAAAAGTCAACTGATGGGGATTTAGCAAAAGAATTTATACACGTTAGCCTTTGTATTAGGTGGCTCTGTCAGTATTATCTAAGCCACTGAAGCTTGGATATACGCATAAACATGCGAAAAATAAACAAATCTAAATTCATCGGCCTGGGCGCCGGCGGAACCGCCTGATTCAACTCAGTAAACGACTATAATAGCCCAACCTTTCCATAAAATAAACAAAAGGCAGTATTTAATAGATTCGTGTTTTACCTACCACAGAGCATTTTATCAATCCATGCTAGTTATAATAATTATAACAATAATGTCCTCTTTTACGTCCGCAGAATTTGCATTCACATTTTTTTTATTAGCGTGAGTTGAATTTCTTTTTAAATTACCTCCCTTGGCAAAATTATAAAAGATTTTAATTAATTAGCTGTTTTTTTACCCTACTGTTATTAAAATGTATCCAATTTTTCTAGTAGTCTAAGCGAAAGTATTATTTGACATTGATCCATTTAATATTTGTTAGCAATATGCGTTTGTTTAATATTTTATTTACGTTATGCGAAAGAGTTAAAAACAGTGACAACTATACAATTTTTTTAGTCGTTATGTAAATAAACCCTATTTATTTATTTATAATAATATGTCATCGCGATGCAAGTAAAAAGCACATGGGGTGTGTTCACTTTTATTGCTCTAAAATCTATAGCGATGACGAAAGGAAGGACTGACACACCACCACCAGCGTTATATTATATGGGTAGGAGGTAATGACAGGTGGTATTTATATTTGTGTCAATTTCTAAATATACTAATAAATCAGGAGTAATTTCCTTACACTTTTCGAATATTCGTATAAACACTAAAGGGGATTGCAAATCCAGTTCAATTGGGCCATAGACATGTTGTAAATCGATTTTAAAATATTTTAATTTTTAAATAGAAAACAAAACGCGTAGAAAAAAGAATTGCGCACCAAATGAACAGCTAATAAAATAATGTGTGTACATTAGTACTTTATAAAGTAAACGTTGATTAATTTTTGAAAGTTAATGAATCATCTAATTAAGTAATGGTTTTTGGAGAAATAAGAAATAGCGTTAAGTACTACATGCAGTCACCGGAAATTCAATAAAAATTTCATTGAATCCAGAGAATAAGATATTTTACTTCCATATGAAACTTCGTCTACCTAACCGAAACAGTAATCAAATTATAGGTTCTTTGAGAAACCAAAAGTAGAAAAAGTGCCACTTCCGGTTACCGGAAATCGCTGAAATTGATAGAAAAATACATATTTGATATAATTCTTACATATATATATATATATATATATATATATATATATATATATATATATATATTCTTACATACATACCTAGCTGAAACGGTACACAAGTTACCTTGTTCACAGACAGAGAGAGACAGACAAACAGACAGACAAACAGACGGACGGACGGACGGACGGACGGACTGACGGATTATCGAGGTATATGAACCTTTTGATTTTAAATTTTTGCACGATTACAATATTTCCTCTATACTCCGTATACGAAAGTAAAAACTAAAACTGATAATTTGATTATTTCTAAATATAGCAGTACAGATGATGTCTTCGCACAGCGCTACTATGCAACCCAAATTCTTCCGTCTGGCTTTGGTCTTGTACTGGGCAAACCTTACAACCCAAGCCACCACATCACACGGGTCTAACCTAACAACCACATCACACGGGTCCAACCTAACAACCACACCACACGGGTCCAACCTAACAACCACATCACACGGGTCCAACCTAACAACCACATCACACGGGTCCAACATAACCACATCACACGGGTCCAACATAATAACCCAACTTACTACATCTCACAATAATCCACCATCCGTTACCACAACAAACCACACCATTCCTCCAGCCCCACCTACTGCCCCACCCCCTTTCCCGATGACACGTGACTCTGGCTTGTGCCAAGAGGTGCCTGACACCACCTACAATGGCCGCCTGATCAACTGCACGGGCCGGGGACTAACCAGGGTTGACCAGTCGATGTTTGCCCCGGACACAACCAGTCTGATCCTAGACGGCAACAACCTCACAGCCCTCCACAACAGCAGCTTGTCCAGGCTGACCAGGCTACGCTTTCTGAGCATCAGGTACAGCAACGTCCAGGGTATACAGGTCAGTAGGTCAGACATACAGGTCAGTAGGTCAGGTATACAGGTCAGTAGGTCAGGCATACAGGTCAGTAGGTCAGGCGACCAGGTCAGTAGGTCAGGCATACAGGTCAGTAGGTCAGACATACAGGTCAATAGGTCAGGTATACAGGTCAGTAGGTCAGGCATACAGGTCAGTAGGTCAGGCGACCAGGTCAGTAGGTCAGGTATACAGGTCAGTAGGTCAGGCGACCAGGTCAGTAGGTCAGGCATACAGGTCAGTAGGTCAGGCATACAGGGTAGGTAGGTCAGGTATACAGGTCAGTAGGTCAGGCATACAGGGTAGGTAGGTCAGGCATACAGTTCAGTAGGTCAGGCATACAGGTCAGTAGGTCAGGCATACAGGGTAGGTAGGTCAGGCATACATGTCATTAAGTCAGGCATACAGGTTAGGAGGTCAGACATACAGGTCAGTAGGTCAGGCGACCAGGTCAGTAGGTCAGGTATACAGGTCAGTAGGTCAGACATACAGGTTAAGAGGTCAGACATACAGGTCAGTAGGTCAGGTTTAGAGGAAAGTAGGTCAGTCATAATGGTGAGTAGGTCATGCATACAGGTGTTCCGGAAGCGACACTGGTTTTATCGGGCACCCCGGGGCATATGTCTACGACCTCTTAAACTTATGAACCGCGGTGACCCTGTCACCAGATGCGGGATCCTGTCACTTGAAGTGGGATCCTTTCACCTGATGTGGGATCCTGTCACCAGATGCGTGATCCTGTCACCAGATGTGGGATCCTGTCACCTGATGTGGGATCCTGTCACCTGATGTGGGATCCTGTCACCTGATGTGGGATCCTGTCACCTGATGCGGGATCCTGTCACCTGATGCGTGATCCTGTCACCTGATGCGGGATCCTGTCACCTGATGTGTGATCCTGTCACCTGATGCGTGATCCTGTCACCTGATGCGTGATCCTGTCACCTGATGCGTGATCCTGTCACCTGATGCGGGATCCTGTCACCTGATGCGTGATCCTGTCACCTGATGCGTGATCCTGTCACCTGATGCGGGATCCTGTCACCTGATGCGTGATCCTGTCACCTGATGCGGGATCCTGTCACCTGATGTGGGATCCTTTCACCTGATGCTGGTGCCTGTCACCTGATGCGTGATCCTGTCACCTGATGCGTGATCCTGTCACCTGATGCGTGATCCTGTCACCTGATGCGTGATCCTGTCACCTGATGCGTGATCCTGTCACCTGATGTGGGATCCTTTCACCTGATGCTGGTGCCTGTCACCTGATGCGTGATCCTGTCACCTGATGCGTGATCCTGATACTTGACCCTGCAAGTTGAACAGCTGTCTATGTCTTAGCTTGTGTATGTTGACCTGGGTTTTCACATATATGTTGACAGGTAGATTTCCTCTTTGGACTCAGCCAGCTTGAGCACCTGGACTTGGAGGGGAACTCTCTTCCCTTGCACCAGTGCGCATTCCCTCGCGACCTGTTCCGCAACACCCCTAGTCTCAGACGACTGTACATTGCCTTCAACACGAGAAACAAATATGGCGACTGGGAGAAAACTTGCACTGACGTCAAGACGATGGAGTACTGCAACGAGACGTCATCACAGTACCCTGAGTATCTGGACATCTTCGAGGCGACCCCTAGACTGGAGGCCCTCTCGCTGGACTCCCTCCCACAGCTGTGTCTGGGCGCGGAGTTCGCCAAGCTTCCCGCCCTGACGAATCTCACGCTTTACTGCGCCTCAGTGGAGCAGGCTTTCAACTCCAGCCTCGTCGGTCTGCAGAAAGTTAGCCTCAGGCGCCTAGAGCTGGTCCAGTTCTCCAACATCATCTTCTCCTTCCTGCCAGAAAACATCTTCCAGCCCGTCCAGTCACTAGAGGAGCTGGTCATCAACAAGTGTCAGGTGGGTAACCACAACACACTGAAAACTCTCTGGCCATTTGTTAACGGTACGCTTCGAGTCCTCAAACTGAACGATACGAAATATTCGCGCTACAGTGAGTCCCCCGCCGTCACGCTAAAGGACGGCATCCTGACCAGGCGGGCCACGGAGGCGCTGGTTAACATCTGCCTGCACACAGTTGCGCTGTCCAACAACAAGATCTTCGCCATCGAGCCCGAGGCTTTCATCAGCGAGACGTGGGAGCGCTGCCTACAGACTCTTGACCTGTCGGGCAACCAGCTGGGCCTGTCCTCCTGGCGCGCCATCCTCTTTCAGCTGCATCTCTTGAGCTCCATGGAAGACATAACCTTGACCTCCCCACCATCGACCTACGACATGGTGCATCACGATTTTTCTTCTATAACCAATGAAACAAGCGAGCAGATCAACTCGATTGCTAACGGTGTCATATCACCCGAGACAGCCACTCCATCACCTCGCCCCATCGCTTGGATCCGCTTCCCACCAAAGGTGCGCTACGTCCGCATCTCTTACCTGACGGTGCAGTCCTTCATCCAGTTCCGGTGCACATGGCGTCTGGTGGACGCTGGCCACGTGCGAGCCATTTACGCCGTCAACATCCCCTTCTTCCTCTACAGCCGGGGCCGTCTGCTGGGCCTGGAGAACCTGCAGATCTTTGACGTCACAGGCTCGATGATGGACGTCGAGGAATATTTTTACGACGATTTTCCAGGCATTGAAGTTTTGGTGATGAGCGCTATCCTGCCAGTTGACTACTTCAACACCGTGGTTCCGCTTGAGCGACTGCTACGGAACATGAGCAAGCTGCGTTACCTTGACCTCTCGAACAACCAGCTCAACTCCATACCCAGACACGCCTTCCGAGCTAACGCGGAGCTCAGGTACCTGATCCTGAGCAAAAATCGCTTCTCGTCCATTCCATTTGATGTCCAGGACTCACCTCACCTCACCCTGCTGGACCTGTCCGACAACGCCATCTTGCATCTGACGGAGCGGGAGATGTGGGTCCTGGAGCGGCAGTTGGACCGTGTCGGGCAGTTTACACTCAGGCTGTCGGGCAACGGCATCGTCTGCTTGTGTTCAACCATCAAATTTGTCGGTAGGTACTTCAGCAAACATCACAACTTCAACATCAGCAAACATCACAACTTCAACATCAGCAAACATCACAACTTCAACATCAGCAAACATCACAACTTCAACATCAGCAAACATCACAACTTCAACATCAGCAAACATCACAACTTCAACATCAGCAAACATCACAACCTCAACATCAGCAAACATCACAACTTCAACATCAGCAAACATCACAACTTCAACATCAGCAAACATCACAACCTCAACATCAGCAAACATCACAACTTCAACATCAGCAAACATCACAACTTCAACATCAGCAAACATCACAACTTCAACATCAGCAAACATAACAACTTCAACATCAGCAAACATCACAACTTCAACATCAGGAAACATCACAACTTCAACATCAGCAAACATCACAACTTCAACATCAGCAAACATCACAACTTCAACATCAGCAAACATCACAACTTCAACATCAGCAAACATCACAACTTCAACATCAGCAAACATCACAACTTCAACATCAGCAAACATCACAACTTCAACATCAGCAAACATCACAACTTCAACATCAGCAAACATCACAACTTCAACATCAGCAAACATCACAACTTCAACATCAGCAAACATCACAACTTCAACATCAGCAAACATCACAACTTCAACATCAGCAAACACCAAACCATCATCACACAAACCGTTGAACGCGTCTGTAGGTACATTAGCAACGACCAGCAGATCAACACACGTACACCATGTTCCATCTGACTCGCCCTTGACCTTTCTATCGCCAGCCTGGTTGCAGCTGACCAATGTCCGGCTGGACAGGGGTGGGAACTACACCTGCACATCACAGAGCGGGAAGATCAAGGCGGTGGCCGAGATGCATGACGTCATGGCCCTATGGAGGCCGTGTGTGGGCAGGTAGCAAACTTTGAACCCTAACAATGACAGCTGTCACAACTACATAACAACAAATTAATAATAAATACATAAAAACATTTATAATTACAAGCTTTTATAAATGCACTAAAAAGAAGAAAATAATACAATTTGTATGAAATATAAAATAACTTTTAAAAATATATTAAATCTGCGGTTACTTTAAATATAAAAAAAAGTTTACTTTCTTTAAATATATTAATGCACTATTTATATCACTATAAATAAAAGCGTTGGACTAGAATAATCTAATATATAAAGTTGAAAATTCTGTATGTATGTAATTATGTTTGTTGTGGATTACAAAGGAATATAAGAAAATACGATAGGTCCATGGATTCAAAAGTTAGATAATTAAAGTACTCATGGTCTGAATGCATGGTGTTGTGAAATAATTTTCATTTTTCAAACTGATAGTAATAATTGTCGGCATGCTCATAAAGCAACATTAAAAAAAAAACATCTTTTACAAAAATTCTAATTATGTCTGAAAATTATTTATATTTAGTCCTGTAGCACTTACTTCCCTTTGATAAATTAGGAAAACACAATTACTTCCCTTTAAAGGCATTAAATCGGGTGGAAAAGAATTTACTTTTTATTACTTTGTTTTGGCGTTGGGAAAAAAAAAAGAATTACATAATTAGCACGGATTAATCAAACGCATATGGTAGGTATTTTTAATTCTGCATTTTTATTTATTTCATACACTGAACGTACTGTTTACTAATTATTGTTTCAATCAAAGACATTTGACGTAAAAAAAACATCTTTATTCGGGAACGGGAATTCCCGCAGGTTATTATTTGTGCTTTTCTTTGCGCATTCGTTTTTGTCTGCCTTTTTTTTTTGCGCACGAAGGGGAATTCGTTTTGGTCGGTCGCACCAGAAAGCTCTTTTATAGACACCTGCACCAAACTAAAAGAAGACATACAATTTTATATATTAGATTAATATTTTTAATTAGAGACGGGTGAGGAGGGTTGGGGGCGTATGGTATAGGACATGTTCGGCTGCATCTCTTAAAATTGTCTATCAGCATTTGTACATGCCAGACGTAATTTTTATACAGCGTGTCTGACACTGGGCCATAAATGTGGTCAATAAAGGGGGGGGGGGAAAGAGACGACTGTTAGAGTTAGTCAACAGGGGCTGTAATTGTCAGTGCTGGTGAACAAGAGGCTGTAACTGTCAGTGTTTGATGGAGGAGCGGTGGTTGCTGACGAGGAATTTTGGTCTAATTTTAGCTTTCAATTTTGTTTTACAGCTTATCACTAACAACAGCCATAGGCCTCGCATCCACCGTGGCTTTGACCTTCTTATCGATGTACCTGGGCTGGAGGTTTAAAACCTCTTTGATGGCCTACTTTCTGCAACTGGTGGCGCCTCAGTTTAGACAGATGAGGCCTGGAGACTACGAGTACCAGGTCTTTGTAGGCTACGCTGACGATGACTTTAACTTTGTCAAGGACACACTAGCCAGGTAAGATTAAGTTGGGACACACTGGCCAGGTAAGATTAAGTTGGGACACACTAGCCAGGTAAGATTAGGTTGGGACACACTGGCCAGGTTAGATTAAGTTGGGACACACTAGCCAGGTAAGATTAAGTTGGAACACACTGGCCAGGTAAGATTAAGTTGGGACACACTAGCCAGGTAAGATTAAATTGGGACACACTGGCCAGGTAAGATTAAGTTGGGACACACTAGCCAGGTAAGATTAAGTTGGGACACACTGGCCAGGTAAGATTAAATTGGGACACACTGGCCAGGTAAGATTAAGTTGGGACACACTAGCCAGGTAAGATTAAGTTGGGACACACTGGCCAGGTAAGATTAAATTGGGACACACTGGCCAGGTAAGATTAAGTTGGGACACACTAGCCAGGTAAGATTAAGTTGGGACACACTGGCCAGGTAAGATTAAGTTGGGACACACTAGCCAGGTAAGATTAAGTTGGGACACACTGGCCAGGTAAGATTAAGTTGGGACACACTGGCCAGGTAAGATTAAGTTGGGACACACTAGCCAGGTAAGATTAAGTTTTGACACACTGGCCAGGTAAGATTAAGTTTTGACACACTGGCCAGGTAAGATTAAGTTGGGACACACTAGTCAGGTAAGATTAAGTTGGGACACACTGGCCAGGTAAGATTAAGTTGGGACACACTAGCCAGGTAAGATTAAGTTGGGACACACTGGCCAGGTAAGATTAAGTTGGGACACACTGGCCAGGTAAGATTAAGTTGGGACACACTGGCCAGGTAAGATTAAGTTGGGACACACTAGCCAGGTAAGATTAAGTTTGGACACACTGGCCAGGTAAGATTAAGTTGTGACACACTGGCCAGGTAAGATTAAGTTTTGGCAAACTGGCCAGATAAAATTAAGTTGGGCACACTGTGAGGATGTGACGTCATTCCGCAGGTTTCTGGAGGATGATATGCAGGTGAAGACGTTCCTCCACCAACGTGACCTTGGCATTGGCTACGCTGACCAGTTGTTCTACGACGCCATTCAGGCGAGCTGGCGAGTTTTGCTTGTCCTGACCGATACATTTCTCCGGAGATACGATATGGCCAATATCTTGATGAAGGTAGGTCAGTAGGAGGGTCTGGTCAGTGGGAGGGTCAGGTCAGTGGGAGGGTCAGGTCAGTGGGGTCAGGTCAGTGGGGTCAGGTCAGTGGGGTCAGGTCAGTGGGGTCAGGTCAGTGGGGTCAGGTCAGTGGGGTCAGATCAGTGGGGTCAGGTCAGTGGGGTCAGATCAGTGGGGTCAGGTCAGTGGGGTCAGATCAGTGGGGTCAGGTCAGTGGGGTCAGGTCAGTGGGGTCAGATCAGTGGGGTCAGGTCAGTGGGAGGGTCAGGTCAGTAGGAGGGTCAGTTCAGTGGGGTCAGATCAGCGGGGTCAGGTCAGTGGGGTCAGGTCAGTGGGAGGGTCTGGTCAGTGGGGTCAGGTCAGTGGGAGGGTCTGGTCAGTGGGGTCAGGTCAGTGGGGTCAGGTCAGTGGGGTCAGGTCAGTGGGAGGGTCTGGTCAGTGGGGTCAGGTCAGTGGGAGGGTCTGGTCAGTGGGGTCAGGTCAGTGGGGTCAGGTCAGTGGGAGGGTCAGGTCAGTGGGGTCAGGTCAGTGGGGTCAGGTCAGTGGGGTCAGATCAGTGGGGTCAGGTCAGTGGGGTCAGATCAGTGGGGTCAGGTCAGTGGGGTCAGGTCAGTGGGGTCAGATCAGTGGGGTCAGGTCAGTGGGAGGGTCAGGTCAGTAGGAGGGTCAGTTCAGTGGGGTCAGATCAGCGGGGTCAGGTCAGTGGGGTCAGGTCAGTGGGAGGGTCTGGTCAGTGGGGTCAGGTCAGTGGGAGGGTCTGGTCAGTGGGGTCAGGTCAGTGGGAGGGTCTGGTCAGTGGGGTCAGGTCAGTGGGAGGGTCAGGTCAGTGGGGTCAGGTCAGTGGGGTCAGGTCAGTGGGGTCAGGTCAGTGGGAGGGTCTGGTCAGTGGGGTCAGGTCAGTGGGAGGGTCAGGTCAGTGGGGTCAGGTCAGTGGGGTCAGGTCAGTAGGGTCAGGTCAGTGGGGTCAGGTCAGTGGGAGGGTCAGGTCAGTGGGGTCAGGTCAGTGGGGTCAGGTCAGTGGGGTCAGATCAGTGGGGTCAGGTCAGTGGGGTCAGATCAGTGGGGTCAGGTCAGTGGGAGGGTCAGGTCAGTGGGGTCAGGTCAGTGGGGTCAGGTCAGTGGGGTCAGATCAGTGGGGTCAGGTCAGTGGGGTCAGATCAGTGGGGTCAGGTCAGTGGGAGGGTCAGGTCAGTGGGGTCAGGTCAGTGGGGTCAGGTCAGTGGGAGGGTCAGGTCAGTGGGAGGGTCAGTTCAGTGGGGTCAGGTCAGTGGGAGGGTCTGGTCAGTGGGGTCAGGTCAGTGGGAGGGTCTGGTCAGTGGGGTCAGGTCAGTGGGAGGGTCTGGTCAGTGGGGTCAGGTCAGTGGGAGGGTCTGGTCAGTGGGGTCAGGTCAGTGGGGTCAGATCAGTGGGGTCAGGTCAGTGGGGTCAGGTCAGTGGGGTCAGGTCAGTGGGGTCAGGTCAGTGGGGTCAGGTCAGTGGGGTCAGATCAGTGGGGTCAGATCAGTGGGGTCAGGTCAGTGGGAGGGTCTGGTCAGTGGGAGGGTCAGTGGGGTCAAGTTAGTGGGGATCAGGTCAGTAGGAGGGTCAGGTCAGTGGGGGTCATGTCAGTGGGGTCAGGTAAGTGGGGTCAGGTTAATGGGATCAGGTCAGTGGGGTCAGGTCAGTGGGAGGGTCAGGTTAGTGGGGGTCATGTCAGTGGGATCAGGTCAGTGGGGTCAGGTTAGTGGGGTCAGGTTAGTGGGGGTCAGGTTAGTGGGATCAGGTCAGTGGGGTCAGGTCAGTGGGGTCAAGTTAGTGGGGGTCAGGTCAGTGGGGTCAAGTTAGCGGGGGTCAGGTCAGTGGGCTTAAGTCAATTGGGTCAAGTTAGTGGGGTTAAGTTAGTGGGGTCAGGGCAGTGGGGTTTAATTTAGTGGGGATCAAGTTAAGTGAGTAAGGGTCATGTTAATGGGGGTGGTGGTGGTTCAGGTCAATGGAAACAGGTCAGTGGGAGTCAAATTATTGAGTTTAACTTCTGATTGGGTTAGATCAAATTGGGTCAGGCCAATTTCTGATGGGGTTAGATCAAATTGGGTCAGGCCAATTTCTGATGGGGTTAGATCAAATTGGGTCAGGCCAATTTCTGATGGGGTTAGATCAAATTGGATCAGGCCAATTTCTGATGGGGTTAGATCAAATTGGGTCAGGCCAATTTCTGATGGGGTTAGATCAAATTGGGTCAGGCCAATTTCTGATGGGGTTAGATCAAAATGGGTCAGGCCAATTTCTGATGGGGTTAGATCAAATTGGGTCAGGTCAATTTCTGATGGGGTTAGATCAAATTGGGTCAGGCCAATTTCTGATGGGGTTTGATCAAACTGGGTCAGGCCAATGAGGGGCCAGGAGCATGGGAGTACGCTACCATTGTATTTCTCATGTCCAATGTTTCAGTTCGCTACCATTGTATTTCTCGTGTCGAATGCTTCAGTACGCTACCATTGTATTTCTCGTGTCGAATGCTTCAGTACGCTACCATTGTATTTCTCGTGTCGAATGCTTCAGTACGCTACCATTGTATTTCTCGTGTCGCTACCATTGTATCTCTCATGTCCAATGTTTCAGTTCGCTACCATTGTATTTCTCTTGTCGAATGCTTCAGTACGCTACCATTGTATTTCTCGTGTCGAATGCTTCAGTACCCTACCATTGTATTTCTCGTGACGCTAGCATTGTATCACTCTTGTCGAATGCTTCAGTACGCTACCATTGTATTTCTCTTGTCGCTACCATTGTATTTCTCATGTCGCTACCATTGTATTTCTCGTGTCGAATGCTTCAGTACGCTACCATTGTATTTCTCGTGTCGCTACCATTGTATTTCTCATGTCCAATGTTTCAGTACGCTACCATTGTATTTCTCATGTCCAATGTTTCAGTACGCTACCATTGTATTTCTCATGTCAAATGTACGCTACCATTGTATTTCTCGTGTCGCTACCATTGTATTTCTCATGTCCAATGTTTCAGTTCGCTACCATTGTATTTCTCATGTCAAATGTTCCAGTACGCTACCATTGTATTTCTCATGTCAAATGTACGCTACCATTGTATTTCTCGTGTCGCTACCATTGTATTTCTCATGTCCAATGTTTCAGTACGCTACCATTGTATTTCTCATGTCAAATGTACGCTACCATTGTATTTCTCGTGTCGCTACCATTGTATTTCTCATGTCCAATGTTTCAGTTCGCTACCATTGTATTTCTCATGTCAAATGTTTCAGTACGCTACCATTGTATTTCTCATGTCAAATGTTTCAGTACGCTACCATTGTATTTCTCTTGTCCGCTACCATTTTATCTCTCGTGTCGAATGTTCCAGTACGCTACCATTTTATCTCTCGTGTCGAATGTTCCAGTACGCTACCATTTTATCTCTCGTGTCGAATGTTCCAGTACGCTACCATTGTATTTCTCATGTCAAATGTTTCAGTACGCTACCATTGTATTTCTCATGTCAAATGTTTCAGTACGCTACCATTGTATTTCTCTTGTCCGCTACCATTTTATCTCTCGTGTCGAATGTTCCAGTACGCTACCATTTTATCTCTCGTGTCGAATGTTCCAGTACGCTACCATTTTATCTCTCGTGTCGAATGTTCCAGTACGCTACCATTTTATCTCTCGTGTCGAATGTTCCAGTACGCTACCATTTTATCTCTCGTGTCGAATGTTCCAGTACGCTACCATTTTATCTCTCGTGTCGAATGTTCCAGTACGCTACCATTGTATTTCTCATGTCAAATGTTTCAGTACGCTACCATTGTATTTCTCATGTCAAATGTTTCAGTACGCTACCATTGTATTTCTCTTGTCCGCTACCATTTTATCTCTCGTGTCGAATGTTCCAGTACGCGAGCCTCTCGGTGAGTGTTGTGAACCAGGGGCGTGTCTTTGTCCTGCTGGAACGGTCCCAGATCCCAAAGGTCCCAAGTTTTCTGTTGGACGTGCTGGACGACACCAAGATCGTTATACTTGATGACGTCAACAGACCCTTGAACTACGAGCAGAAGCAGAGCATTCGGAGATGTCTGGAGCCAATCTAGGTGTCAGGGTGTGTGTCTATGGGGGGGGGGGGTATTGTCTATGGGGGTCTGGGCGTATGTCTACCTGTGTGTGATTGTAGGGTTTAAGTGTGTGTTTGTGTTTAAGTGTGTTTAAGTGTCTGTGTGTGATTGTGTGGTTTTAAGTGTGTGCCCGATTGTGGGTGTTTAGTTTTAAAGTACAAGCTTTTTTAAAAACACTGACTTCGATTTTCTAGTTTGCTTTTTTTTGTTCAAGTTTAAGTTAGATACTTTTGACTAAACACAGAGGCGTTGGTCAAACTGAGCTGTTAGCTCACAAAACTTGGGCGGAACATCTGCACTCAGCTCCCGACTTAGGCCTCTTCACGTCACATTGCCTTAATGACATTCTTAACTGGGAGTTCCCGACTATAAATCCCCCAAAATTTCCAGCTCTTTAACAAGCGACGTCACATCCTGTTTACAACTTGTAATCTCCGGCTGAGCAGAGCTGACGTCACATCCTGTTTGTGCCAGCTACATTACTCATTGGGATTTGTGCCGGTGAGGACAAGCCTTGGGGATTTGTGCCGGCAATATTTGTATTGAGATTTGTGCCGGCAATATTTGTATTGAGATTTGTGCCGGCAATATTTGTATTGAGATTTGTGCCGGCAATATTTGTATTGAGATTTGCGCCGAGAAGAAAACAAAGATTTGGCATATGACGGGTACTTGTCATTAGTAAGTGTTGAGGTCAAGTAGTGACCAATTAGTCAGATGTAAGTGTAAGTGTTTCCGGAAGCGACAAGTTGAGTTGTTTAATAGGAGCATCAACTTGAAATATCAAGTCACAAGTCAGGAAAAATAGGCCAAGTCACAAGTCATGAGACGTTAATAATAATTTAATTATATATATATATATATATATATATATATATATATATATATATATATATATATATATATATATATATATATATATATATATATATATATATAATGGGTTCCACTTAACTTTCTCGTATAATTTTAAACAACAATAAAGGTGCAATCCGGGAATAGAAGTGTTCAAGTTTCTGACAAAACCGCTATTTTTTTTTTCGAGGAAAAAATAACACGCTTCATGAGAATATGATGAAAAAAATTATCCAATTCTGAAGGTTTTTGAGAAATCGGAAATAGAATAAGTACCACTTCAGATTTAACGAAAATTGCTTCAAGTTGAAAGAAAACTACAAATAAGATATAATTTGTTACACTTTCAAGGTTTTTTAATGTGTGCTGTACGACAAATAAAATTTAAAGCCAATAGTTTTATACTTATTAGAGGGATTGTGTTTTTATTTTCTTGGCATCTCTTGGGGGTAAGGGGGGGGGGGGGGGGGCTGGATATGCCATAACAAATAACATACTGATATTCAGTGTTGACAGCTGCAAGAGTTTTTGCCTTTAATTGGCCCTTCCGAAATTGAATTGTTTGTTTTCGCAGAAACCTGCCCTGGTATATTTTCATTAGCTCCCGAAAGTTTAATGGCGATCGGATGAAAGGTTTAGTAATGCATAAAGGACAAACCCACAAATAAACATACTTTGAATGTATACACATAGATTGCACTGTGTTAATAGTCCGACAAGAAAAGATACGTTTCAATTACACACCAAATACAAAATCAAATGTTGGAGTTGTGAACACACTTCACAGCTATGCCATTCCAAAGAAACGTCTGAAATGTAATCATAGAGGGGCAATATAAAGGTAAGGTGAGACAACCATTTGGTTTGGGGGGGGGGGGGGGGAGGGGATACTAGGTCAGGATATGTGTGTTTCCGTGAATTTCAACCTAAAGTCTCGGTGAGCATCAGCGGACTGTTATTTACCAAGCTACACATCGCTAATAGTACACATGCCATAGCATGCAGTGCAAGCGAGTTGATAGAACTAGTAGACAGAGAGTACATCGACAACTTATGACATGGAAGTTAATGCAGAGAAGACGGAGTTCATTACCAACAACCTATATGGTACAGTGCGGACATAAGGGTAAATTGCAAAAGTTTGGAGGAGATTTACACCTTCAAGTACCGTGTCGCCATCCTATCAGGGAACAAAGCAAGAAGTACTTGCAAGAACTGCCCAAACAACCGCAGCATTCAGTAAGTTAATGAGCATTTTGGCGTGGCAAAAAGATCTCTCTTGGCACAAAACTTGTGTGGTTGCTGGTCATGTCTTCCTGTATGGATGTGAGGCACGGACCCTCCATGTAGGCGCCCTGAAAATCTGATGTTTACACAGACTGCAAGATATACAATACAGAGGTCACATGACACATGAAGAGGTTCTTGATCAACAATGGGTATGGTCCATTTGATACTTGTTTGAGTAAAAACAAAACAACCGAGATGGTAAGGGCGTGCCACACAAGCCAAGGGTAAATCAAAAACTTGAATGCGGGACACGGTGCCAGAAGGCAGAAGACACGTAAAGACAAAATGGAAGACACCGAGCTGTGGACTGGATGACACCTAGGCGTGAATTGGGCTTCCCGTTGTAGAATTACTTCAAGCAGCAGACGACCGAGCAGAAGACCGAGCAGAAGACCGAGAAAGAGGGCAGAAAATAATCAGAAAATTGACTATGATGTCCCAAGATCCAGGGGTTAAAGGAAGGGCGGATCACTGAGCTACTATACTACCGTCTCATCGACACTGTTTTCTGTCTCATCTACACTGTTCCATCTTGCCCTCTCCCAACCGTTTGAACCTAATCTCAGAAACTAATGGTTCTGTCTTTAGGCTTCTCGGTACTTCTTCCTTAATTTAATTCACAGGTCAGTACGGTGTGTGTGTGTATGTGTGTGTGTGTGTAGGGGGGGGGGGCTCAGTGTGAACATGGCGTCAGTTTTTAGATGGCTGTAATAATATCTAGACATAAATATACATATGTACTGATTCAGAAATATATTTTAGTAAGTTACAGTTGTGTTATGACAGTAAAAACATTTTAACAGAGGCATCAGGGCGGGGTGAGGAGGGGAGGGTATTATCTCCAACTCCACATCTTGCCAACGCCACTGGCCGACACAAACGAAGATCTACTTTTCTTGCATTTCGTGAGAAAAATTCTTTGATTATAGCATCATAGTCCTAATTGGAGGCAATGCCTTTTTCTATCGACAGAATCGACAGGCCGCAGAGCATGTCTTGGGACATCGTTGATACATGTTCCACATTTCCCGGATCGTATATATCGTTTACGATAAATGGGAATGAACTATTTTCGTCAGAATCATTTTCAGAATGGCCGCTTGATTTGTCCCTACTGTCGAAGTTCGTGGGGTTTGCAGCTGACAATAAATGACTCGATGATTCATTATTACCGTCACCACCACAAATGTTAGTACTCATTGTATTCCTACTTGTTACGTTCTTCATTTGCGACATTGGAATCCACAACCAAATCAAAAAGTTTTTGTTGTTTAACGACTTTTTTTGGATAGTGTATGTACTTGTCCAAAGCGCCTGCTTGTGCTTTATCAAATTCTCTTAAATTGCGTTTCCTCGCTTTTGATGCACCTGATTTATACTTGTGAAATCTATCTCTGTCTCTTGTAGCCATGGTGTTGAGGAAAAATGGTGAAATCACTTTGTAGCAACGTTAAATCGGTCCACAGTGGCGGGCGATAGTATCGATATTTTCTCAATTTATCGAGTGTTAACAGTTGCATTCAAAGTGTGTGGATGCCGGGGAAAATAGCAAAACATTGATAGATTTCGGAATAAGCTCGAATCGTGAAAAACACTGTTTACTGCTATAGATATCCAAATGAAATGACTCTCAAATGTAATCACGGACGCTCAGTAGGGTGGAACATTGGGGTGGGTGACAGTTGGTGGGGTGAGGTAAAGGATAACTGTACATTTAAATCTATGGGATGCCAAAGCCTAAAAAAAATCAGTTCGGGTACTACGTTACTGGATCTCTGATCGCAGCCATTCAAGAGAAATTGCGTGTTTATAGAGCGTATTACATTACAGGTTAAGACCGCGTTCTCACAAGAGAAGGTAAATATCTATAATTATAAAGTGAACCATGTGACAGCCAGCTTCACCTTATTTATGAGTTTCGCGACGGCATGCTCGGACTGCCGATAATTTAGACGTTTGAGAAATCAGGAGAACTTTACCATAAAACAGTCTCGGCCCGATGTATCAAACAGTATAGACTTTATAATTTGTTTAGTATGCCTACACTATTTTAAAACAAGAATCACTATGGCCTTAACGATTATACTGAATATCCCTACAATTAATTAAAATAAACATGTGCTTAATCACTGTTAAAGTTTACCAAAATGAATATGGACATAATTACTGTATAAATGCCCTTCAAAAATATAAAAAATAAATACAAGTATAATGTATTTAAAGATGACCTGACAATATATAAAATGAATATGAACATAATTTCTGTTTGGATGCCTATCAAACGTATCGTGGTGAATAAGCATAATTACACAAAAGATGCCCATACAGTGTATAAATTATGATTTTAGGGATACATACTCTGGATGTCCGGGGCATGTCACCATCCGCTCTCCCCCCCCCCTCCTCTGCAAGCCATCATCAGGTCACTGACTGTTTACTACAGGCACCCCCGCCTGCTCACTAAAAAAAAACGTCTTCAACGGGCCGCGTTTTCCCTATTTTACCTCCCATGTCAGGTCGACCGCCATCTCCAGTCACCTCAGGACAAGTGCCAGCGATGTGTGACACTAATGTCTTTCTTTAGAATAACGATCTGTGGCAGTCCATGTTAACAAACTAATTCAGACAACAATGGCGGTGCTGAAGCGCGGGGCCCCTTTAAGCGCGGGGCCTGGGGCGACCGCCCCGTTTGCCAACCCCTAACGCCGGTTCTGCTTTTTACTATAAACATTTACAAGTTTAATTAAGCAGGTCAAAAGTTCGATAATCCAATTAAAACGTTTAGTAATTATGTTTACATTTAACTCCCTTTTGTAGGCAACTAATACAAAAAAAAAAAAACTTTTATAGCAAGAAGCTTTTAAAATAATCGAAAATAAGGAAATACAACTAATTTTCTTTCTTTCATAAAAGCTTTGGTCGTTTATGAGATCTTTTACATATTTCAGCGATCAAAGCTTTATGAAAAAAAAGGAAATTAGTTTTATTTCCTTATTTTCATTGCATTTAAAAGCTTATTGCTATACACTTAAAAAAAAATATTTATTTTATTTT